GCACTCCCACTCCCCCAAAATGAATATCAAAGCTTTTGAAAAAAAAAAATCAAATTTATTTTTTATTTTTCACAAATTTTGAAACTTTATTTTTTGCTTTTATTATTTCATATCCATTTTTTGGGACCTATTATGCACCACCTGACCAAGTCTCATGTTTTCAAACTTGTGTTTTGGAGCTCTGGAATCCAAAATAAGCAGCCACTTTTCACTGTCTAGGCACTGTACATCTTTGATCTCATTGTCATACCCAGTCAATTCTGCTTTTGATAGCTTTCATAAAATACATGTCTTTAGAGCTCATGTTTTTTTTTTCTTATGATCAAGCCACTTTTTTTAACAGAAAGTGTTAATATTTAACTCTGCTTGAACCAGTTTTAGGTTTGATGTGAGGGATGGTAGATTGTTCTAAGCTAATCTAAAGAACATGAGACAGTGGTTAAATGTAATAGTATTAACAAATCAGGTACACAGAGCAGCTAAAAAAAAAAAAACAAGCCATTGGATCAATGAGTATAATGGCGCTGATTCAACAATCTGATTGCATTAGTCATAGTGAAATAGTTGGAATACACGATTATCTTGTTTACTAGTTCAGAGAGGTTGTTTGGGCACTCCGGGAAAAAGATGGGTTTTTGGGTTGCCCAGTATTGGAGAATGTCCCAGGAGATGCCCATGGCATTTGTCGAACTGTTTGTAGGACCCCACGATTTTCTAAAGTGGAGCATATCATGCAATTTCCGGGCAAACGTAGTTTCATGAAACAGACGATCATTTGATCTACCGCTTTCGATCTCCCGCCAGAGCTTCCTGAGGAAATCCAAGAAGTCGACGATGTACCCTTTTGTCAATTCTTCATTCTCGTGTTCTCCCAACAATGAGAGATAGATCAAGTTGAGGAACGTGGTGCATTTGGTCAAGCGTTCGATCACAACAATCCTGGCCGTCAGTGGTTTGTTTCGAACGTGGGTTTTGTCAGGGATCGTGGCTAAGTTGTGTGCGAGTCTGGAGCGGATCCAGCCCACAATTGCTTGCGAGAAGACCGGGTACTCTTCCAGCTTAAGCTTTTCGTCCACAAGTTTCAAGACTGTAAGGTAGATTTGCGATCCTCTCTCAGAAGGTGTGATGCTTGTGGGGTAGCCAATCTCGTTCCTTTTGCTTCGATATACGCTCAGAAAACTCGTGGCAAACTCCCTTGAAATCCAAAAGTACATTTGGCCATGGTTTTGATCATCAGCCGAGGCTTCCCGTCTCGCTCCATGTTCTCCTTCGATCTCCGTTTTCAATTGATTCAAAAATCTGAACAGCTTCGAAGGCATAAATTCATTGGCGCTGGTTTGGCCATCCTTATCAATTTCCATGTTTGACGTATGTACGACAAAACTCCAGTCTTTGAGATTGAAAAGTACGATTTTCTTGTCACTTTCTTCAAGTTGGAAGGCTTCTGTATCATCATCGGTTGGCGAGCTTTTCATTTTTTTAAGTGGCTGTTTCTCAATTTGTCCGAATCGATGAGCATTGTTGGCAGTCTCACCTGCCGACGCACTTTGATTTTCGGCTGGCCAGTTGTGTTGATGGTATTTCAGAGGAGCCTTCTTTCTTTTCTCCTTAGAATCAATTAGGTCCGACTTGGTTCTTGGTCCGACATTAGTATCAACACTGTTGTGCTTGCGGGCACCAGTTGGACGATATTGGTTTACGAGAAAGGACTTGGGCGCCGGGCTTGCCGAGTGGATTCCGATTTGGTATCCCTGTGTCATAGCATCTTCGACCGAAGCATCCAAGGGCGGAGTCGGTGGTGAGGAAAAGAGTTGAAACGACAATGGATGTTCATCCGGTGTCAAGGAACAGGATTGGGGCGACAGTGGAGGTTCATCGGGTGGTAACTGGTTCAAATCAACCGTTTTAAAAGTCGTTCCCTCTCCGGCTTGAGTCGAGATTAGCATCGCAAGCATAACCGCTTGCCCGGCCGAGATGGATATCAGATACAGACGTTGAAGGAGAGAAAGATTCATAACGCCAAGGTTTTAACATACAAAGCCGGAAGGCAATCGCAGAAATCGCAATCCTGGGGTGTATGTATGAATTGCGAGTGATGTTTTCCTCACGGGAAGGCTCACTGAGAGTCGGCCGCAGAACCTGCTCTGCTGAGACATACAGTTCATATAAGAGCCTCATCACAAAAAAGCGACTAGGGCAAACACCCCAAGATCAGAGGCTCTTCCTGTTACAAACGAGTCTGACACTCAAACCTATGAAACACTTCCCAGAGGTGGGTTTGCAGGAGTTTACATATATGTAGTGAGGCGACGGAGGAGGAATCCGTTAAAAAACATCATGTGTGCGTATCTCAACACCACATCACTCCTGTCGCTTTCTCCTACTGGATGACTTCCCGTCGAAATCTACGACCCCCCCCCCCCCCAGAAGCCAATTTATGTGTACACCCAATATGTAGATCTAATTTTTCCATCAAAAAAATTACACATTGTTTCTGAAGCCGGTTAGCAATGGCTTGAATATAAGCTTGGAATCTTACAAATTGGGTTGTTGATATAGAACTTAGACTAGAACTCTAAAAAGCTCTCCAAATCCGGACAGGAAGTCCTCCACTACATAAATATGTATAAGCAAGCCGAAACTCAAGACTCTGTCCGGGACATTAGCCGCACACCCTCCCGCCCCTCCAAAAGGGGCCTTCGACCGCACCGGGCCGTCTCTGAGGGGCGGGGTTTGATTGCACGTCCCTGTCTATGGACAAGCCGGGCGAAAGCGTCTGTCGGTACCAGTGACGAGCCAGCGCTATCGGAAAGCCGTCCCCCCCCTTCATCTATGTACTAATTTTACTATGTAATGCTCATCACATCTCCTTTCATCAATGATGGCTGCTGAATCCCTTCTTCAATCTAAACCACACATCTTTCTATATATATATATATCTAGGAAAATCGACGACAAGAGAACGATAGAAAAAAAAAAGTGAGGGATACAGAACAAGAGCGATAACAATAATAAATAAATAAAAAAACATTGGGGGATGATGATGATCGCGTCCTCCAAAGAAGACATGGAAAGGCGAGAGATACGGGTATTTAACGGTAGTGTATATATGTGGAAGGATATTTGAGCAGAGGGAAGAGAAGAAAAAAAACAAATACAAAGTAAATCAGCGGCCCGAGCCTATGTCCCCCCCCCCAAAAAAAAAGAACGAAAAGAAAAGCTCTATATAGGTCAAGACAGATAAGAATACAAAAAGGACGAGGCGAGTGAAGTTGAGAATCAAGGACGAAGCAGCCTAGCCAAGGCGAGCAAGAGTTTGACGACGCCGAGCTTGAGCCGGGGGAAGACCGAACGAGACGAAGAAGAAGAAGAAGAAGGGAGGAGCGAGAGCTTGAAGAAGAAGAAGAGAAGGAGGAGCGAGGAGGAGGAGGAGAAGAAGAGGAGGAGGAGGGAAGACTTGAGTTTGGACGAGAGCAGTCGAGCGCGGCTTGGGTGCCCAGACTGGTCGGAGGTGGACGGAGGAGGGACGGAAAGGAAGAAGAGGGAGCGGAGCAGGAGAGATTTGAGATGGATGAACGATCTGGAGAGGCTAGTCAGGAGGGAGGAAAAGTGGGAATGATTGAGAGCTTGATGATGATGAGAAGGAGGAGTGGACGGATGGGGCTTGACGAAGTTAGCGAGATGGGCGCGGAAGCCGGAGAAGCCAGTGGTAGTAGGGCCGGAAGACGGGCGATGGTGATGGATTGGAGTTGGTGGTGTTGTCGAGAGACTACTGGGACGAGGCTTGGAGTGTGATGAGGCCGAAGGAGGAGGATTGGAGGAGGGGGAGGTCTTCTTGCTGGCTTTCTTGCAGTGATGAGTGGGCAGCTGGGCCTGTCTGGAGAGCTTCTCTTCATGCCGGAGTTGTTGGCGTTGCAGCTGGAGAGATTGATGGGCCTTGGCGGTGTTGATAGCTTCGATCAAGTTCTGAAAAAAAAATAAAGAAAGATCAATATGATTGTCTGAGTGATCTAAGATGGGGCTCGGCTTACATGGACATTCTCGGGGGGTAGGATGAGAGCGGCTTTGAGGTGATGGATGAACTGGAGGGCGGCGGGCCATTGGTGAAGGGCGCCGAGGATATGGATGGTGTAGATCTGGATGAGGGCGAGATAAGAGGCGCGGAGATCGCTGGACAGATTGAGCGGACCCTGAATCTGATGGTCGGGCTTACTATGAGTATGATCTGAGTAAGCCAGCTGAGGATGGTTGTTTTCGGAGGAGGAGGAGAGGGTGAGCTGGAAGGATCCGATGGAGGAGAACCAGGCCTCGATCAGTTGTCTGCCGCTCTCGGGGGTGCCCAGCTTGATGGAAGCGAGTGCCAAGGCAGTGAGGATGGAAGGATGGAGCTGATGCAATAATCGGTCATCATCCTGGGTGGATGACTCAGCCAGTGATCGATCATGATGATCATGATGGGTGGTGAGGATCGAGTGGAGTAAGCGGAGGAGGAAGCGGTGGGGATGGTCGTTTAAGTTGAGGAACTGGCTGAGTGAGTCGAACTGCTGCTGAGTGAGTTGATCAGCTGAGTAAGCCAACGTCGAGGATGAGGATGATTGGCTGGCTGAGGAGGACTGGAGGATGGAGGTGAGGAAGGTGATCTTGAGGATCTGGAACTTGCGATCGAGCTGGAGCAGTTGCTGGTCGATAGTCGAGTCGATACAAGAAGCCTGATCACTACTACCGAGCCACCAAGCATTTCGAGCAGGACTACCATCATCATCATCTTCGGCGGGATGGATGGGAAGTCGTAAGAGTTCTTGGATATCCTCCAGTCCGAGGCTGATCGACCGCCAGACTTGCGAGTGCTGGTTGAGCAGGAAGGACTTGGTGGCCAGCCGATAGATCGCCCGGATCCTCTCCAAGGAATCGTAGCGCAACTTGCGGAAACTTCGGATCCTCGACTCGGGCGAACTAATCATTGGTGGTGGTGGTGGAGAGGAATTGCTGGTGATTATCGTGGTGCTCATTTTGGTTTTTTTCGTTTTTTGATGTAGTGGTCGAGTGGATATGCCTCCCCAAGCAGCACACTCAAAAAAACTGTAAAGCTGAAGATGCGGTGGGGGGTGTTCAGTCGACGTCGGAAGTGTCCCAGGACGATTCAGGATCAGGACTTGCTTCGTCGTCTGATCAGGAGCATGTACTTAAATACAATCATGGTTGACATCACATATAAACGGACAGATATCTGATTTCCAATCAAGTTTGGCAATCCCTTCTTTACATAAATATCAAGATGTATGTATGTACTTGTGCAGGATCCCACAGGAGAAGACCTTCTTAAATTCAAACAAAGGCTATGTTCTTGCTTGGTCAACTGCATGCTTAATATTTGGAGAGGGAGGAAAAGAAAGACAACTCAGCAAGCATCAAGGGAAAAAAGCTGCCCTTTTTTTTCTTGCCTTATTGGAATTTGGTGATGCATGATGTACAACCACACACTGTTTACAATCTGTTTTGTTTTTCCAAAAAGAAGGGAAGGGGGGGGGAAGGTTAATAAAGGATGTGGTTTTGTTGGTCATTCATTCACAGTCGAGGAGATGACAAAGAGAGAAAGAGAGGAAGAGATTAATGGAAGATCAGAAAGACAAATGGAGAACAAGTTATACAAAAAAAAGAAGTATGTAAAGGAAAGAGAGAGAGAGAGCGAGCGAGAGGAGGGTTGTATACATGGTACAACAACAACTATGTACACCCACAAACACACAAAAAACACACCTAGAATTGTGTAAGATTCAGACCAAAAAAAAAGAAAAAAGTGGACCTAGAAGACTTCTAATCATAAGACTCTTTTCTATCATTATGGGTATACACATACATAACCGAAAACCAAACCAAAGTTGAATCTAAAGAGAAAGAAAAAAGGGGGTTCGTTTTTTTTTTGTTTTGGTGGTTACCCTAAGACTTGTAATTTCTGTTTCTTTTTCTTCTTGCCTGAGCCTTCACCCTTCTGGAAACTACGCCAATCAGTCACCCTTTCTTCCCTTGTTTCTGAAACCCACACATGAAGACAATCGAACCAAATCAGTCAACGACATAAAAAAAAAGTCCGGGGGGGGGGGGGGGGAAAGAATGTCTGAGAGGACAAAAGGCTTACCTTCCCACCTCTTCTTCTCTCTCAACTCTCGGTTTCCTCTTAGGGATCGCATCCTCCTGTCGTTTAGCCTCCGTACCTTCGGCAATCATCGTCATTTTCCTCGCCCTTTTTATTTATCCATTGAAACCCCCCAAAACATCATCATCATCAACAACAAAAAAAGACGGATTGAAGTTTGGGGGAAAACAAAAGGGGGGGGGGGGGGGGAAGACAGACCTTCGGACTCTCAGCTCCTCTTCGATGATGATTTCTTTGGTTTTCAAGCCCACCCGGAATTGGAACGAGGGCACGAGCTTGGCCAGTTTCTCGTGTTCGTCGGGGGTCGAGTCGGGCAGATTGAGTCTGCGCAGGGTGAGCATCCGTGCATCCTTGATAGTCTCGTCTAATCCCCTATAATATATACACACACATATATATATATATATATCAACATACATGTTTCATTCGAAAAAAAAAAAAAGATGAATTTGGGGATGGATGGCCATGGGCAAATCGGAAGGGGGATGGCTTGTTCGTGTCTTTTTTTTTCTTTGGTACATGGAATGAGAATGGGATGTTTGGAGTCCGAGGTGTTGAAAAAAACCGCCCGGACGGTCGCAAAGGAATGTCAGTGAAACAACAAGGATCTATATATGTATGTATTGATCATCGCATATCAACCACCAGCTCTTCACCACTTGTGTGTTTTTGTAAGAAGGTTGTTGTTGATAGATATATGTATCTTGGTATATAAAAGTTCCAAAACAAAAGGAAAAAGTAGGAAGGGGGGGAATAGAATGATGCGAAGCGAAAAAATAAGCGAAATGAGAAGAGAGAGAGAGAAGGACAGACTTTCGTTTCTCGGGATCCAACAAGAACCCTTCGGCTTTCTTGAGCAAGTCGAACGCTTCGACGCCGCGAGGATGGGAGAGTTTATCGGGATGGATGAGCAGCGATTTTTGGCGATAAGTCTTTCCTATTTCCCCCGCAAAGAAAAAGAAAGGATGAATGAGGATCTGGGATGGGCATAGGGAGGAGGATGAGTAGATTAAAAGCTCACGGATCACCGACTCGGTAATCGCCGTCGGATTGGTCATGTCTAAGTCCAGGATCTCGTACGGGTTTAACTTGAACGCTGCAACCACTCGTTCGACCTATTATAACCCAATTACATCGTCACTTCCCAAAAACAAAACTCTTCCAATTGACTGTACCATCTTCAAAAAAAAAGAAATGATGCTGACTTCTTGTTCCCGAGTCAAGAGGGATTCTTCGCCCTTGAGGATGTTCTCGATTTCCTGTGCATCTTCACCGTTGGTCGTGGCCATCGTCACGTATGTGTGTAAGAATTGTCAACAACTGAAAGAGAGGCCGAGCGAGGTTCTGTGAGTGGTGTCTTCCGGATCGCTTTCGCTGTGGTGGCTCGTCTTGTAAAGTTTTCTTGGGGCAAATTAGTTCATCCATCATGTTGTCGGGATACATCCATGTAGACGGATTATGTAAGCCGTCGATAGGCAGCTGTCACACCGGATTTCACCGGGCTGTCCAGGGACAAACTACAAAATGACTATCAGTAGAAAGATGTACAGTGCGCATCACCTCTTCTCGACTACCCCGCACCTGCAAAAAATAATTTGAACTTTGATCTGTATGTTTGTTCACACCAACCATGCTACATGTGTAAACAATGCATATTTGAGCTCTACAGAAGTAGTGGAATTCAAAAATATAAAGCAAGATTCTGTAGCATGCAAGACAAAAAAGTTTGAAATTTTCAAATTCAAAATTTGGAACACCCATGGAAAAAGGCCATACTATGGCCTAGTGGGTATGCAATATGTATTTATATGGTATGTATTATGCACATAGACCATCTAAATACATGATATTGAGGGAAGAAGGAGAAAAAAATAGGAAAACTCAGTGCCAGTTGCCCGGCTAACTTGCAGTCATAATTGAAACATCCATCATTGCAGCCCTTGGAATGCAACAATTAGATCTCATCAATGATTTCAATTGGCTGGAGCTTTGGCTGTTGCAAGCGTTTTGGTTTTTGTACATGGCTTTGTTCTGATTGTGTCTTGTCTGCTGATTTGTATGGACAAAAATCTCAAAAAAAAACAAAATGGCATTGAAAAAAAGTGAAAAAATTCAAAAAAAATTCAACTCCCATTTTGAAAAATTTGGAACACCCTCCTGGGGGTAGTTGAGAAGAGGTGATGCGCACTGTAGCTTGGACAATAAAAACATCACTTCTCTAGTGTTATATACGGATATCTTAATTTCTTTGGCATCTTGTTAATGTTATCATGCAGCTAAGAAAAATGCGCAGGAGGTAAATGGTGGGTTAACAGATCCTGGTGTGATCAAAGGTTTCTACATTATATGCATCATCTTTATTTTCTCAAGCTTTTTTATGTTGGTAGACCATAGCCACGCTACAGTGTTGAGTATATAGCTTCCAAAGAAGCTGAATTTTCTTGAGAAACCCAGTTACTAATTCAGCTTTTGTTGCAGGGGGCTTTTAGATGGTGGAACAAATATTTGTTCTTTTTTTTGTAGAGAAAGAAGATATAAGCTCAACAAGGCCAGATTGTGGCCGCAATCCCAGCCCTCCTTCAAAAAGTTGAAGATTGGAAACATTTTTTCCAAAAAAAAAAAAACTATTTCCTTTTTAAATCCAATTCATAATCAATCAAAAATCAACCAATCTCTTGATTTATTCATGATCTTTTCTCATGGGGTCTCAGTAAGAATTGATTACTCGATCAGCTGCTCCTTGAACATTAGGTCAATGAGGAGGTAAAAAAAAACTTTAGAATGAGAAACATACTCTGGTTTAATTCCAGTCAAGAAAGCTGGGTGAAAAAAAGGGAGATTCACAGCCCACAGGATAGTCCACTGAGCCATATGAGTGTAAAACACATTCATTGAAAAATTTAATCCATCTTGATGTCACAAATTGAATTAAAGGAGAAATTCATTTTGTCTGAAAATTGTAAAGTGGCCACAGTTGAGGGATTCCACATGGCAAAAGAGGATGAGATCTTGCTGTGAGATTCAATTCAAATCTTCATGGGGAAATTGGTGTTTTCTGGTTTAGATGTGACTAACACTATCAGTACCAGGACTTGCGTTTAGATTTACCATGCCCTGAACTTGATTCTGAAGAGTGACTTTGGTGGATGTAACAGCGTTGTCTAATGTCACTTGCCGACTGGCAACTTTCTTGAAACAGAAGATGGGGCTGGTGACATTGTTTGCAGGTGCCCATTTCAACTTTCCGAAGGGTTTGACATTGATGTGTCTCGCCAGCAGCACAGATGTGCTGGCCAGTGCATACCAACTGGTTGTTCTCATAAGCAGCCTCTGCTTCTTGACGACTGATGTAGGGTGTACGCTGACATGACTCCAGATGCAGGGGATCATTTGCCAAGATCAAAGTCAAGTGTGTGGCCAGGGCAATCAAGGGTCCAGCAAGATACATCTTCATTGTGTGTAGGGAACAAATAAATGCAACTGATGGGGATTGAACGTAGGTGAGTTGGTGGTTTTGACTGTGTTTCAGTTGTTTCAACTCCAAGAGGACAAGTGCTTGTCCAACTAGACCAGTGGGGATGTATTTCAATGCCACCCTCTGGCAATATAAATCTTATGTGAAGATAAAAATTGAACAAAGGCTGTGCAAAAGACTTATCCCCTCATTGTGAGCCTGCTGAGATATCTTCTCTTTCTCAATCTCTCAACAGAATGCAAAGCACAGATCTTGATGACCAACAAATCCAAGCAATATGTCTGCAGGACCCACTTAAAATCCCTTAAAAATTCTACAGTGAATACAAATATCACATCACCCACTTCACTTCATTCAATGCTGAAAATTTTTAGTGAGTTTTTGAAGATCAGTATTGATTTAAAAAATCTAGTCAAGAGATAACAAACAGAAATCAAACAGTGAAAGTAATCAAGACCACAAGATCTTAAAAACCCCTATGTTTTAAATGGCATGCTGGAGGAAAGAACCCGCCTACACTGAATTGATGTAGACAATAAGACCAACTGTTTGAACAGCTCACCTTGAATGACTCTTCTGATTGGACTGGCATGCTCATTCAAATTCATCTATTTTCTAGAAATTATTTAATTCAGCTATAATTCTTCAGGAGACCATTCATAAAATAGATTTTTACTACACCAACACAAGTGCAACTCACTCTACCTAATTATAATATCTTGACAACATTCAATCTACAGGTGATGTTTGACTTGCACCCCACAACAAGATATTCGAAAGTGGTTTTTCAGGGTGTCTGTCAGCTTATTCTTCTCTTATGCTTCAAAGATGACCAACAAGCTGGTGACATTACATTCCAAGTGAAACAAAACTCTGTAATCTTTCTGGTGCCACCTCAAGCAGTTTTGATTGGTGCTGTGTTAAGAACATCAAAAATATCTTGAACTTGCAATTGATTGATTCCCCACAACACTGAGCTGTCAAACTTATTGCCAAGTGTGACCTTAACATAAAGTACATTCTTCTTGCTCAATCATTCCTTGAATTTGAATTATTTTTGAAACTCTATTGTCAATTTGTAAGCGACAGAAGCACCCCTGACTAGAGATATGTGAGGAAAACATTGAGAAAAATCATGGAGAGAAGTCTAGAACCTAGCTATCTTTTGTATTACTAGCTCAGCAGTAGCTGAAAAGTTCTCTCACTAGTCACTGCACAATCTGACCATGAAAGAGAAATGGAATTCAAATAATACATTGCACCTAAAAATTGAAGCCAAGTCATTTGTTTGAATATACAATTATAATAATTTCCAAGTCTTCATTTACCACAGGATAGGTGTATCAAACCACAAGCTCCTTATTAGTGGTATTGGCACTTTCTCTATCTGATTTGAACACTAACGAAAAGGCAGTGAAGCTGAGTGAATCCATGTCCAGCAAAGCTTTGGTCATCTGTTGTAACGTTGTTATTCCAGAAAGGTTCAAAGGTTTGTCGTTTAGGAATTTTTGTGCTGCAAAGAGTCATCTACATTTGCACAGGAATAAAGGGAAAGTGGCCTGTAATTTGGTGGCGCAAAAAAAGAAAGAAATTTGAACCAAGTTCAGATGGAGAACAGTTTTTGCCGTTTGGATTACATGTTTATGCACATACATAGCAGTGCACAATAAAAAGGCTTCCTCCTGTTGAGTCCTGTTGGCGACTCAGGGCGACTCCATAGCCACGAGGTTGAGGAATCTTTTTGTGGCTTTCTATGTGTACAACATACACGAAGGCAGTGGCAGGTGGAGTTGGGGATCGAGGTTGCATATGTAACTGGAGAACATATGACTTTTCCTACACATGATCCAAAAAATAAATCAACTTCCCCTCCATCACCATCCCATTATGAATATTTTTCTATCGGCACTTGCGATGTTGTACATGACGAGCAGAGTTGTAGATGCTTTCAACTGTGGTGACAAGATCCCTCAAAATGTTTGCTTGATGGTGGACCCAATCATGGGACAAGCATGGTTTGGTGAGTGCTTCTTTCAACTCATTACTCCAGTTCCTCACATCGCTTACCTCCCTTCATACTCCAATGATGAAATGCCCCAGCCCGAGCGGACGACATACCACCTAGTGGTGCAGGGAAAGGCTGCAAGCTTGCCGGAGTTCACGCATTAGAAGCACGTGGCTGTTGTCCTCTCGCAACCATCAAAGTCAGTCCAATTTCGAGTGGATTTCGCACTTGACACACATAAAGCTGTTTGCACAAGTCGTCTCGCCTGAGCTCAACTGTTTCTGATGTAAATTCAGCGTGGAGGACGTATCACGATGGGAGAATATAATCGCGCAGGTTGTGGCCCCCCCATTCCGGACTCTCCGCCGCCGAAAATGGCGTAACCAACAACAGGACGTCATCAATCTTCCTGCATCTCATTTTTTTATCGACTTCAGCTTGATTGCCATCATGAAAACCCTTGACCTGACAATATAGATTATGTTCCATTTTTCACCCACGTTGTTTCTTCTCTTCTTATCCATAGCTCTCTGAAGACAAGGAATCGATTGAAACTGGGTGCATGCCTTTTGGCATACCGGACCTGAAATTTCGATTGTCCTTTGAGATGAGTATGGATCAATCCAATCCCACTGCCGGATGAAGCGAAGCCCGCGAGTGATTGAAGCTCTCACTGTGGCTCAAGAGAGCTGCAGACTTCAAGCCTTTAATCAGGTAACGGATTTGAGGTTGATGACAAGAGGGGGGGCGTTCGTAATACCATGGGATAAGCTCCACTTGACGCTTACTGTCTTTTGTCCAACATGAAGATAAATCTACAGAACTGAGGCTTTTGTAACATTTTGACTGCATGCACTGCCTGGATACGCGAGGAAGAGCATTTCGTCAATCATTGATTCGAAACCTTCAATTTTCAGTCGACCCAGGTTCAACAGACTGTACTGTTTTGCAGGGCTGGATAGCCGAAGGCCCCCATTAGGACAAGTAATTCTGGACAAACACCACACGCGACATAAAAGCTAAGGTTGCCAATCATCTAGTCAATCAATTTGTTTGAAGCAATCAGCTCTTTGATTTGGCTCCCAAGCCAATTTTTTGTTCACATGACTTCAACATGCAAGGTTTCCATTCATACAAATTAATTTATCATCTCCACTGCCCCAAGATTTTGTGTGTGTGGTCAGGTTTTCATGGCAGTAGAGTTTTTGGACTGGGTATTCTGATTTGCCCCCAAGTCAGTCTGGTAACCACCCCAAGATCTTCCTTTTATATCTGTTGAAGCAAACCCAGGTAGAACTTCATGTGAGTCACACCCATTCTGTCCATCAGTCCTATCTCCCTACCATAATCATCATCCATATCAACCACATTCTTATTCTGTAGCTCTGCCAAGAATCTTTGCAGTCTGAACAAACAGTATTCAAGCTTTGACATGATCAATCATTGGAAGAAGGTGGCAGGGGCTTTTCAGAAGTAAAATGGATCATTGTTGGCCTGCAATACAAACTAATTTGAGTCACCTTTTTCAGGAATTTTTGTGCATATCCTTTGAGGGATTGAATTGCTTGAAGAGGAAATGTTTGGATAATTCCATGGGTAGAAAATCTGAATTTGGGTTTCAACTTTTCTTGAACAAAATTTTAGACATGTAGATATGTTTTTAAATAATAGGAAGTGGTTGGATCCTCAAAATATTCCCTTTTTTATTGCAAATTCAATTCTTGCAAATGAATCTCAGTCCTCTGAATGTCCATGTTTCAAGACGTGTGGAAGTCAATGAATAGAGGAAGGTGGGTGGCTAAGATTTTGGGGATAGAGGGATCTAATAAAAATTTTTGAACATAGCACCAGGAAAAAAAAAACAATGCTCACTTGATGACAAGTGAAATCAGGATAAGTTTGTCATGCTACCCATTATGTTCCCAGCTCAACTCTACTTCAGCCCCCTGTAGCACACAAGTGGGTCATTGTAGTTGGATTGTAGTAGCACTTGAGCTGCACTGGAGTTGTAATCAATGCCACACAATTTCATGTGTTATCTGGGAAGCATTGATTTTTTCCCTGTTTGTAGATACAGCCATTGAATTTGAATTTTCACTGTTTAGTCTTTTTCCATTTCTTTGAAAAATATCTGAATACAAGACAATAATTGAGACACACTAGAGAAAATTTATAAACTAAGGAGATCAATAACTCTCAAAAATATTGTATTTTTTGACTGACAAAACAGAGCTGCATACACAATGGGCTATAAACTCTACAAGATTGAATGACTGCCTGTGGAGACTTTGTCGGACTATTTGAATATCCTTTAACAGGTATCTTTTTTCAATCTCATTCCATCTGAAAGATACAAATGGGATCTTAGTGCACTTACATACAAATGAAATTTCATTAATCTTGATGGCATTTAATGAACAAAATTCTAGTTATTTTTCACCTTGATAGCCACAGTCAAGGGATTTCATGTGGCAAAAGAAGCTGGGAGCTTGTGATGACAATCGAGTCAAATTTTCATTGTCTTGGGCTGTTAATGTCTAATTTTGATGTGTCTAATAACAAACCTTGGTGACTGTTGTGTTGATTGCTACCATGCTCCACATTTGAGCCTTGGATTGCTGTGGTTTGACAAGGGTGAGTATCACAGTGATCTTGAAGTTTGAGTTCCAGTGGACAATCCTTTTCTTGAAACATCATGTGAATGCCTGTGCAAGAGTTGCAGTAACCCATGTCCATCTGCCTAAACTGTTTACATTTGCCATGTGACATGCCACCGGAACATTTGTGAATGAGACCACATTCTGCACCGTTTGCATCGTAAACCCGGATATTGCTATATTTGGGGCTGCACAGACGAGCACATTCCCACTGCGTGATCATGCCAGTCGCCAAGTTGAAAGTTAAGTGTGATGCCAGGCAAAATAATAGTTCAGCAAAACACATCTTCATTCTGTGTAGGGAAATGTGTTGCGTATGATGGCGATTGGACAGGATCCAGTGGATTCGGGGAATTGACAGCGATGTAGTGGTTCCAACAGGACAAGTATTCTCAATCGATCAGATCAGGGGATGTATTTTCGTGCCAACTTCTATAATCTTGTGTGAAAATGCAATACGATGAGATCAACGTTATTGCAAAACCCCTTTTGAAACAGCAGAAAGACTGAATCTAGTGAATACGACTATATCAGACAGACTCAGATAGACAATGGCGATGGGTGTAAACTAGAGGCTTAACTTACTCCCCCTGAGAGATATTTCTCCACTTGTTGTCGATGCTTGACAAGTTCAATTGGGCTCAGAGCTGGTTGGACTGGTTTTATCTGCTGTGTGTGATTGAGTATTCTTGGAAGCTGGTGGTGTGATGAGCGAGCTATATGCTGAGAGCATCGGAGTTGATTTGGAGTTAACTAACACAGTGATGTCACATGCAGGTGACATTTCACTACCCAACAGAGAATCCCAATTGTTTAAAGGTTGCACAGAGCCTGTCATTCTTCTTATTGCTCAAAAGCTGAAGCAGAGCTCTTGACTAAGGAAAAATCCAAGAAATCTATTTGCAAGACCAGTTCAAAAGCCGTCATAAATTCCAGTGAGCACAACAAAAATCAGCATTCATTTCATTCCATGCTGGCAAAGTCTGAAGTCATGAATATGACACCATTGATCTGAAAAACCCATAATGAAGCAAGGCAAGAGAAAAGAATTAGAAACAACAAGTAATTTCAAGCTTTGAAACAATTAAGTAGTTTGAGTAGGGAAGCTCATCAAGAGCCAATAGATCAGCATAATTTCAAGTATTCCAAACCATCAATCCACACCCATCTAAGACATGTTCCAACAAGTATTTGTGCAAGGGGATACCCTCTTGAAGCTGGCTTCAAACAACCATGGATTGTCCTGTCTATCAGGGATCAAAATTTTATCCACAAAACTAATGTTCAACTTGAATTATGGTAAAAAAGGTATAATTAATTGAAAAGAGCACTTGAAAACCATCTTGGTAAATTTTGGTTTCAGTGCAGGACCCAGGTGAGGGAAGTGTGAATGAGTCTCTAAATTTTGCTGCAACAGGGGTTAGCATTGGTTCTTGAGCAGGAAAGTTGCACAAGCCTTTGACAAAGTAGACATGAAACTATGTGTTCTTTTGCTTAACCTTCTGAAGGGTTTTTTGTGGCTGTTTATCTGCTGGTCTAGTGTGTGAATTAGCCTTTCTTTGAGTAATTAATGACTTTATACAATAGGAGGATGCCAGTCTCTGAGGGGATCAAAGTTTCATTTTTTTTTTGAAATAAATAGGAGCAATCAAATTTCAGTGGAAATAATTTTTTTCTCTCATTGAAGATTATTTTCATGAAGATATTTGGGCCCATAATGCATGTTAAAAACAGTGATTTTCACACAGCAATTGATTTTTTGTGGAAAATGGAAAATCAATGTATGAGTCTGCACATGCTCTTATAGAAGGAAGTTCTGAGCCCAGTTTTAGCCTTAGATTAAGCTCAGAATTGCCACTCAGGACCCTCTATTCTAAGGCTTCCTGAGCTCAGGAAGCTTTCATGAGGGTTCCTGAGTGGAAGTTGAGGCTTGAGCTTCACAAAATCTTTCCTCAATCCTGTAAAAGGCTATCTTATATAATCTAAGCTGAAATTTAAGCCTCCCATCTAGAGCTCAAAAATACCTAGGCTCTTAAATATCCTCCTCACAAAAGCTTATTGTGATCCCTGCTATTAGGACGGTAAATGTCTGGCCTTTTAGATGCAAATTTAATGACATTTGTGATCAAACTTTTACAAATTTTGTCAAAAATATCAAATTGCTCCAAACCTGATGATTCATGAGATTTAACAAAATTTGCAAAGTTTTATCCAAAAATGTGCTCAAAGTTGCCCTCATGAACTTCAGAGGTGAATGGGCTAATTTATAGAGAAAGTGCAGTTATGCAAAGAACCAAATTTTGATGATTTTCATTTGGGAAGCTCCTATCACATAAGTAAATACCACAATTATACATCATAGGCACCTACCAGTTTCTTCTATAAAAAAGTGAGTATTCTTTGACCCATGGGCACACCATTCATTGACAATTATGAAAACCCCTATACCCTAGAACATGGCATCAATCTGACCAGCCCACACAAATTCCAATGCACTCTACATAGTAATTTTTGGTATGGTGTGAGAAGATTGTGTGTTGTGGGGCACAGTCCACAGGGTACTGAAGTTGGCTAAATATTGTTGATATCTATTGAGGCTTGAGAAATTCCATCAAAGCTACCCAGTCATCCAACATTGCAGGGGGCTAGGGATGTATTTCTTGCTGGCTATCCAGAATCTTGCAGGATTTGAAGCAGCTTTCTTAATCTTCCTGTATAAATGCATCTCGATCTCATCAACCGTGTGCAGGGTGGCCACCTGACTGATGCATTGGCATTCGGAGTTATCAAACTCCCGTCTCCTTTAATGATCCTTGGACATCTTGATCCGAGCAGATAAGGCTGGCTGATCCTCTTGATTGACGATTTGACAGCACCACCCTCGGGAACAGCGGAGGGGGGGAGATGTTGGATGGTCATGAAGACCAGAGCGATGGTGCATCTCCTGTGTTCTTTCGCAGTTGACCAACCCCTTTCAAAGTAGTCTTTCCTATCTTACCAGCCAGTTCATCTGCTCTTCCGTCGACTTCGTGAGTCATCCGCTTCAACTGCTCTGTTCAGCTCTGTTCCATTGGAGTAGCAGGCCTCTTGAATCTCCAAGCTGAGTTTGATTGTTCCGCCAGCCGATCGATCCGGAAAAGCCTCAGCAAGTTTGTACTCCCATCTACACACAATCTGTCTAGCCAAACACTTCTGCTTGGCCTTGCTTGCGAGGTCGTTGCAAAAGGGTATGTACAATCCTTCTCCTCATCCCTTTGATCGATTTCCAAATCTTGAGCGTTCTGCATACATGCGCACTATGTAGTCGAAGCACTCGGATTTCTTACACCCGAACAGATACGAATACAAGCTAACTTTGTTCGTACAGCTTTGTTAACTCCGAAAGGGCCTTTCAACTTGAGCGAGTCGATCAAAAAGCACTCCACTCTGGCCAAGAAGGAACCCCAGAGCCTACATACGTCAACAAACATCTACTCTTCCAAGATGGGGCCATCTGTGAACACGACCCTGTCGGAACGGATGAACAGTTACAATGATTCGAGCGATCGATCGGGGCCGACCTGGATGCTGCTAGTGTACCACTTGCCATACCTCCTCCAACTGGGCCTACTGCACCAAAAGTTCCAATCCAAAGCTTATGAAGGCCAACGAGACTGGTTGCGGCTGATCAGGCTCGGCTTGATCCCGATCAACATCCTCCTGGGCTTCGAAATCATGCGCAAGTTTTGCTTCTATCCGTTGACCAAACGGGGGCCCTTGAATCTGCAGTTCGCATGTTGGGTGGCCCATCTGGTCATGCGCTCGATCGAGTGGGGGTCCGTCTCAACCGCCCTAGATGACCCCACCTTCCAACCTACTCCTGACTTCCTCCCCCAGAAACCTCCCTCAAATCAGCCCTCCAAACCGTCACAACAAGATGAAAAAACTGAAAAATCGGCTCTGGAAACCACGACTGATCCCGGAAAAGAAGAACCAGAATATAGCTACAAAGACGTACTCGTATGGTCAATCTATCAACTCACATCGTACGTTCTCTTCAATTTATCGAGTTCAATCACCTTCAATTTCCAAATAATTGGCCAACTACATATACCTACTTTGATTTTTGTGACAATATGATATCTTAAAAACCCCGCAGTTTGAGAGGGATTGATTACGTCTGGGGATGGAGAGGACGAAGCGTGGAGAAGCCGACGGTGTTGCAGACGGTGCGGCTACTTCTGATCTGCCATGTGGGCCAAGTGATGGGACTAGTTCCATTAGTGATGATGCGAGACCACGGCTCGCCAACGAATGCGTTACTGGCACTAGGGATCCCGAAGTTCGTTGGCCTGGGGATCCTAGCGGAGGGATTGGGGACGCTTTCGTGGGGGATGTTATGTGTCTATGGGATGGAGTTCGGGTTCTGTTTCCTAGTGATGATTGCACATGGGATCAACCTGTTCTCGGAGCACATCCTCAAGCTACCAGCCTGGTTTATGCGATGGTGGGATCTCCGGCTCTTCGTCCCTCTCTTCGGCTCCCCTCTCGCCGCCAAATCCTTGGCTTCACTCTGGTCCTCCCACTGGCATCAGGTCTATCGTAGAAGCTTCTACGTCTTGGGCGTCCGGCCCGCTACTAGATTGGCTGCCAAACTCGGCTTGGCTCGCAAACCTCAACGACTATTCGGCCTACTAGGGGCTTTCATCGTCAGCGCTATTTTCCATGAAGTTGGTAAGTTGACGAGGACCATTCAATTTCGATTCCCGTTCTGAGAAACTCTAATGACCAACCCATCTTGTCTCTCCTGCGTTTTTTTTTCTTAGCCATCAGTTGGGTAGCTCGACCCACACACCCATCGCCATACCAATTTTTCGGAGTCTTCCCGGGCTCGTTATTCTACTTCCTCATGCAACCGATTGGGATCCTCATCGAGCCCTATGTGATCCCGATGATTCCCGAATGGCTCGGCGGAGGCTCGCTGTGGGTGATCCTCTTCACCCTCCTCACCGCCCAACAGTTCAGGAATCAGTACGCCTTTCAGCATCGCGTCATCGATCACACTTATCCCCCTTTTAAGGACTGGCCGATCTCCGGAATCCTCTGGCCCTCTAGTATCATGCAGAAATAAATCGCGCTGATTCGTCGATCGATCTCTTTCTCTCTTCTGCAATGCACTTTCCCATCCTACTCCTGGGACATTCATCTGTTTGTTGCTTGTTTTGTCACACTTCTTTGTCTTCCCTTTATCTAACACAGCATTTAGTGGCTTGTGAATATCCATCTGTTTTATCGTTTTTTTTTTGTGGGTTTGTCTTTAATTCTGGAATCAGTGGATCATAAACAGTTTGTTTGTTTGTTTGTATTCATATATGTTTGGACATTCTAAGCATCATCCATTCTCTCTTGCTTACCTGTTTTATATATAGTTGTTTCTGGCTGTTGAATATAGATCAAGGAACTTTGAATTTGTTTGCTGCAACGAAATCATTCTGAGGCACAAAGCGTCTCAAGTTTAGAGTCCCATCACTTCAAAGATCTCACCACTCTTCCGTCGACAATATGTATCTTTTGTCCACCGTTGTCTCGTATGTAAAGAGATAGGCTTCGTGTTTTTGTGGAGTCTGTGTACAGGTTTATCTTGCTGAAAAGCTCCCGGAGCCGGTTGGGTATGTATGCAAACCCCAGAGAGAACCGCGTCCATACAGTCGTTTCCACATGGCACTACGCACGCTTTCGGGAGATATTCCAGCTTTCTTTAAACGCGTACAGCAGTTCCCAGAAAGCTTGCTGTCGCGAGCCCCTGGGATCCAGTTTTTTTTTTTTTTGTGCCACACTTTTTCTTTTATTTTTTGTCCTGTATGTGGGCTCATACAGCCACAGTATTCTAGGCATTATGGCCCAACTCCCACATTATTCAAGTTGAAGATTTGGGAGTTGGACCATCGGAATCCTGGCAGTTTTTTGAGCTGGAAATGGTCATCACATTGGTGCTTCACCTCCCCTTGCCAGGCAACAGCCGAGTGCCCGGAGCCCGATCAAGGCCTCGGCAGCGGATTTGCAACCCGTACAGTCATGTGTACAGGTTCCGAGGCGCAAAAAAATGTGGCAAAAAAAAAAAAAAAATCGGGACCCCAGGAGCTCGCGAACGCAAGCTTTCTGGGAACTGCTGTATCTACAGTTGCGCAAGGCAATCCACTGTAACAGTTTTTTTCATGTCCGAAATGTTGACAAAAAAAAATTGAGAAATCTTGCTGCGGATTTGAGTTACTCCGCAAAATTCTTGACCAACTTGGTCAAATATTATTAACCCAGCCCTCCTATACACACAACACACTCCTCTACCACGATTCGACGAATAGACCGACAACTCTCAGCTTATCGACAGGGATTCAATGGTCCCCAATCAGTCATATTGATGAAAAAATACAAATCTCATCGATGCATCCCTCGCCAAGCAGCAATGCGAATCGATATTCTCACTAATTAGAATCAGTTTCTTCTCTTTCTGTTTCTTTACTCTTGTGTCTCTGCTCCGGTCTTATCTCTAAAAAATCTGAAATGATGCAGTCGATCTCATGTTACATGTGTTGTGAGGCACTTGCAGCCACCAAATAAACCCATAAGTATGGGTTTATACTGTCTAAACCCATAAATATGGACTTATACTGCCCATTTGCACTATGTGTCCGAAATATTTGAAAAAAAAAAAAAAAAAAATAGAACCGCTGGACAGAAACCTTAGCGGACTTAGTTTTGGATTGTACATGGTCTGAAATGCTCAAAAACATGGTCTACATGTGATTTTGACCCCGGTGGTCACAGAACATCGGGCCCGCGTCACGAAACTAACTTTTGCAGGCAGGGTGTTACAGCGGATTGCCTTGCGCAACTGTAAGCGCGTATGTGTACCTCGAGTCGAGGACTGTATGTTCGCCGGAAGACCTACCATGTACAATTAGACCGGCAGAGCTATTGTCCAGTCTGTACTTTAGTATATATAAACCTCCATCATAAGTCTGGCTGGTCGATGACAGCGGCGGTCTTGCCCACCCATGTGTACTTCCATCGCTCGCAGACATACTGGAAAAAACCTGTAGGCAGGAAGGGCAACCCGCCCGGAAGGCTTTCTTCTGTGGAAGCGATTGTATAGTAGCTTGAGAGACCGTCTCGCAGGAGCGTTCATACATTGTACACCTTCCAGCTGAAAGTGCACAGACAGATGCTATTAGGTGACGGGACCGGGGAACATGATATAAAGCAGCAACCTCGGTGCCCAGAATTTTGTAATCCCTTTTGATAGATCAAACCATCCATCCGAAATCAACCGTGACTCTGCAACTGTCCACTCTTTCCGCACCCCCATAGGATTCTAGAACATTTTTTTTTCAGACAGTCTTTGGCACAGCAACATAAATATACATAATCAGGAAAAATGCACCTTCGATCGGTTTTATTCTTTTTGCTTTGGGCAGCTTTGGGACTCGTCTCGGCCAAGTATCGGAGATTTCAGAGATACGCCGACAAGCCCTTCGCATGCAACAATGAATTCCCGCAGGGATATTGCGGCAAGCCAGCGGGAAATCATCTCTATTACAGTAAGTGTTATTTTTTCCCACATGCCACCAAGAACTGGGCTGTTGTGGTTACTTGACCAGCTAATCAGAGGGTTGATGTTGTTGAACGTGAAGTGTTCGAAGCTTTTCATGGATCTGGAAACCACCTCAACTGTAACGGTTTGCAAATGAAGAGCACCTGGTGCTGCAACAATCTTCCCATCATGGTAAGTGTCCCTTGTTCTCTGACCCGAATTCCTTCCAGAGATCATATTTGTGTGCGAATTGACCGACTTTCCAATTAACCCTTCTCCACTCCAGCCGGATCATCTCGCTTCAACCCGTTACATTTTCGTCGGCAAAGACAAAGTGTGTCAATGGGGAAACCAAATATAAACGCAATCACTATTTACTTCATCGCTCTCGTTGGCGACAATCTAATCAAAAGAAGACCAAAAAAAAAAATCATGTCGAGACCACACCGAAATTTCCTGGCTCCTCCTTTAGCCTTAAAATTTCTGCTCTAGTGTTTACTTCGGATTTCTTTCTGCTGTATGTTATGTTATTTAGAGAATTAGAGTCCAGGATTAGCATACATAGGCCGCCTTTTGGGGGGCAGACGTCTTTCAAACAAGCGATGCTTTGTTTCTTGATCGGCATGCGTGGACCTCATATTTGCCTCAAGATGGCTTCTCTCCATCTTTCTTTACATGTCAATATATACTTCTCCGTCTCATATCAAAAATCCAAAGTAGTTTGGATCTTTCACAACTCTTATCATCTAAATTTCTCAATCGAGGATTTAAATCATGCGATGAAACCCTCGATAGTCAGAATACACGAATATCGATGCGGCATAAACACCAATAAATCGTGGTTCTCTGTTCCTCTAACTCCAAGGAATAATGTATCTGCTTTTCCTAGGTACTGCTATAGATGGGTAACCAAAAGATATATGGGCTCACTTTCAACTGAAGCCCAAAATTTCATTGGATCTTGTCGCAATCTGCCAGAAAGTCTAATAAAGCCGCACATTTGTTTGGGAGTTTATATTAGTGCCAGGAACTTGGAAGCTTATCTTCAACTTTTTTCTTCGCTCCATTTGCTACATATTATTGGTGGGAACTATGTTGGGAGGACGCGTCACAGAGTACTGCAGAAGAAGTTTGCTGATCTTGGCCTTGGATTGGTGGAATACCTACGTATCACGCAACTAAGAATTCTTCCTAAAACGTCGAATGCATTAAGACCGGCGAACTCTTTTTACTTTTGCATGAAGGATAGTTTTTTTTCCCGGACAGACATCTCTCAAGACAACGCAACAGCAATCTAGCCTGAACGGCGCACTACATGCCCCCCGGGATGCCAAGAAATCAGTTGAAGGAGAAAAAGGCGACGTTTTAGCCTCAAGCCTAACTTCTAAGGGTGTGTTGGGGTCTCTAGTGGGACCCATGGAAAGCTGCATGCTTGTTCAGGGCTGAATGAAACGCTCCTTAAAGGGTGACCATGGGCAAGCTGACAACTGATGCTACCATCGTTACTGGTGCAGCTCAAGGCGGATATTAGGCACACATGGTATTAGTCCATAGGCTTAGAAAACGAAATTCAGGAACTGCCATGCCCAAGGTAAACCCTTTTTGGTAGGGGCTGTGTGAGGAAACTCAGATGACCCTTATATTCTGACCTACCTTTTGGAGTTTGTGGGACAGCCACACAGGAGCGATGTGCCCAATCCTCTGCCAGCACATCATTTATGTAGTGCAACGGTCGGTGTCAACGGGAGAGAATGATGATACATAAAGCTAGCAGAAGCACCTTACTTGGCTTGCAATACCCCAACATCGACACCAACCTCTGCCTAGCTTCTGATCGTCCGCGATAAATTTTTTTAACGAAAATCATATCCGAAACAATGTATCCCATCCCATCACTCGTCTTCTTGATCCTTACCACTTCGTTGGGATTGATCACTGCAGTGGAGGAGCAGAGGGACGCACGACATCCGTTTAAATGTACTGGCATCCACCCTGTCGGATACTGCGGTCAGAAACAAGGCTATAAGGTCTATTCAAGTAAGCGCGATCTTGTGAACCACCTTATCGAGGTACCTCCTAGTGACAGAGTATGCTGATGCTGTTTTCATTGAAGTGTTCCATGCAACACATTTAGAACATCACCTCACGTGCGCTGACACAGGAATGAAAACCAACTGGTGCTGCAAAAACGGACTGGAATTCATGCCTGTGAGTGGTGTGTGGTGTGTTGCAGGAGCTTCACCCAGAAATCATTAGCTGATTGGTTCCCACCAAACACCTTGAATTCATCTTCAGGGCACAAGCTCTGTTTCGCAAAATCACATCTACGGCGACAAGGGGAGTTGTGTTTACGGACGAACGGCCAATTGAAAACATTGGCGATTCGAATCGATGTATCAATTGTAACAATCTGATTGGCAAATTCAACATGGACCAAAGATATGTATCATTTACCACCTCCGAATTTCATAAATTGTAGTTATTATTCTAGAGTCCAGCACAGGGGCCACCAATTTGATGCAAATTCAATCGAAACCTTGTTCCTTCTGTGTCTGGATCAAGTTATGGGTACCTCCCTGAGATTCACGGGGCCTGTACCATCGAAAGATCCAATCAAGCACCACTTGATTAGACTTTGAGATCCGTTATCATGTTGATAAAAACATGGCCATTCTCTACCATTTGCACCAGATCCACCCCCATTCATTTAAATATTCCGTGTAGGCTGTAGCCTTGCAGCAATTGAGAAAAATTCATAGATACAATTAAGCACCACTGAAAAAAATCTTGCTCATCTTTTCAAATCAGCTACCTTGGTCGAGGATACAAAAGTAAATACCAGATGATGTGAAAAATTGAAATTCCTCGTCCCATTAGAAAAGTTGTTCCTCTCATGATGAGGGTTATTTTAAATTAACCTGTCTTTTTTTTCTTGAAATAGATTCAGAAATCTTTGAATTTCAATCATTTTTATATTTTTGACTTTTGAAAGAAATTAAAACTCGGCCAAAAAACTATTGAAGGTCAAAATTTATGTTGTTAAATTGATATCTTTAGATTTTCCATGAGCTTTTAGGATCCCTGAAGCATCAAAAGTCTAAAGTTCTCTAAATGTTTCACTCTTTGAATCTGAAAAGATTGATGGTTGAGTGTCAGGCTTCTCTGAATCAAGGATCGAAGCAAACATGGTGAGTGATCATGAGATTATTGAAATTTGCACAGTATTCATACATTACCAGCCTTATTTCAAGGATAATTCTGGTCAATAATAGTTGTGTATCTCAAAATGAAATGGGAAGGTTTTTTTTGCCTGAGAGTATTACCTTGGAAGTCATTCTGGGTAGAGTGAGAAGAATTTCTCTCAGAGATACTGGCATGGTTGCCTCATCGAGTTGAGTAGGCGAACCCAAAATTCTTCATTGAGGAATGTCAATTTTGTTTTCTTTGATTGTTAGGAACACTGTGAAAAAATCTCATTCAACTGGTTGCGGTTGACATGCGGGTAGTTACACCATAACTTGGTTATTACAGAGACTTATTCCAAAATGATTTTTTCTGCACAGTGACTGTGCATGATGCACGGTCACTGCATCAAGGTTTGACTCAAGTAACTGGAGTAGGGCTTTAACTCAACTTCAACCACAAAAAATCGACCACTTTTCACCCCCTCCAAATCAATTCTCCGAACTTCTCTATCATCACCAAATAAGTATCTTTTAACCTTATCTCAAAAAAAAAAAAAAACTCCGCTCTCCCACCCTATCTCCTCCCCTTCTCCCTTCATCACCCCCATTTCCCCTTCCGAATCTCTAATCATTGAGTTTTCCGATAAATCCCCTCATAAAAGGTTTCAACCTTATCAGGCAAGGATAGCTAAAGCTATGCCCCCCGGTACGGTCAATATGACTCCGGTAGACCAAGATGATCATCCTCAAAATCATGAGATTGAAATGACATCATCTGACGTAAATACTCAAAATCGTGATAACTCTCTCATCTCATCCACCTCTAACAATCCTCCCTTAAACCAGTCCCGCCACAACCCAGACAATCAAGGAGTCTTGAAGATCATCTCCAAACTCATTATGAACCCAGAAGCTGATGGAAGTGTTATAATAACACCGGACAAAGTCCAGCTCTTAAAATCGTTGATTGGAGTTGAGGAATTCATCAATGTTAAAACTCTTAACATGATGGATAAGATCACCTCTAGATTGGATGCGATAGAAAAATCCATATCGAAATCTACTCCCTCCACTAAGCCACTCCCATCCACTTGGTCTTCCATTGTTAAGAAAACAAATCCCCAACCCAATAATAATATCGTTCGTCCACCTCCTAGTGTTCGCGTAATCAACGAATTCAAACCATCTTTTTTCATCATTCGTAAGACAGTCCCAGAGGCCCAGGCCTTCGCCCAGAAAAGCCCCGCACAAATAACTGAGAAAGTGAATTTGGTGCTTTCCGATATAGAAGCTAAAACAGATGACGGTACTCCTATCACCGTTAAAGGAGCAATTACCCTCCCTTCGGGAGATGTTAAATTCTTTACACCAACAAGATTTGCAACTAACTGGCTCCTAGAGCACAAACATGAATGGACCCATCTATGTGATCCTGCTTTAGTCACTCCACAAACTTCCTTTCCGGTAATCATCCACACTGTACCGATTTCATTCACACCCACTAACAAAGCTACGATAGCAGATCTGTGTAGAGAGAATAATGGGATGGACGCTAAGTCTATCCAAAGTATGCGCTGGCTAGGTAACCCGCAAGCTAATAAAAAAGCTCATGGTTCAATCATAATGAACCTTCTCGATAAAGAAGTCGCAAAAAAGATTGAAAAAGGTGGACTGTTTTTTAAGGGTCTCTTTTTCAAAGGAGCTCATTATAAAAAATCCCCGATGCAGTGCTTTCAATGCTTGGAAGTTGGCCATACTGCACAAGTGTGTAAGAAGGTGCCGCTTTGCAAATTCTGCGGCGATGAACATAACTCCCGTGACTGTAACACTGATGTTCCGATTGAATCGTGCATCAAGTGTACTCAACATGAAAAAGAAATCAACCCAGGAACTGAGATTGAAGGAAACAACCCACGTTTCCTCACTCACTTTAAGTCTTAAGTGCCCCTTAAAAACAAAGAATTTCCGACGTAACATCATTAATCAATGAATAGTTACGACGAAACCCCCCCAAACAAAAAAAAAACACAATTCCTGTCTCTCACTGAATCAATCAAATTTATCCTATTCCCAAGAACCTCCTTCATCTTTCTTCAAAGTTGTCCAACTCAATTGTCATAACGCGTTCGAAGTCACACACAGTTTACTGAACTCAGAAAAAGAAGCAGCGGTACTAATCCTCCAAGAACCTTGGATTAATCCCCATACCATGAAGTTACCAAGCCATAATAATTGGTTCTCCATTCTCGACGACAACCATTTCCCTAAAGAATATCATAACAAACACCGCATCTGCTTCATGATAAATAAAAAATACTCCTCAGACAGAATTCACCCTCTTGATGGAGGATCTCGAATTTTTTCTGCCTTAGAGATAGACATAAAAATTAATAACATCGACAAAATCAGGCTAATAAATGTGTATAACCCCCCAAAAAACTTTGAGGCTCTGGCTGAACTAAACAACTGGCTAACTAAATTCAACAGTCGAAACATTCCTTCTTTCATTTTTATAGACTCTAACCTTCACCACAAACTGTGGAACCCCGCTAATTACTTTCACTCCCATAATGAAGCAAAAGAATTGATCAGGATTTGTGGCAGAAGAGGCTTCAAAATAATATCGGAGCAAGGAATCCCCACTTTCTCTACCAAAAGAAGCAGTTTGACTACCATCGACCTTACTTGGTGCAACTTCTCAGCTCAAAAACTTGTCCAGAAATGTTCGACTTCACATTCCAACCACGGATCAGACCACCAAGCGATTCACCTTGAACTCAACTTCTCTCCTCAACTTATCATCAACAATCGATCATCATACAATTTGGAAAACATTAATACAGAAAAATTCAACAAAGACCTTTTTTCCTCTCTCAACACCTTAGAAAACAAACCACTGACAAATCAGCTTGAAATTGACAACTTTGTTACAGACTTAACATCTTCCTTCCAACACGCCCTAAACAATCAAAAAAAGGAAGTAAAAAACAACAGCACAAAAGCCAAACCGTGGTGGGATAAAAAGATTTTAGACCCTCTTGCAGACAAACGGAATCGAGCTCGAAGATGGATGTTATTATCGAAGTCAACCAACTCTTGCAATTGCTACCAACACTGGCAGCGAGTGTTTCGAGACAAAGTATATGAGTTAAAAAAAAATCATTGGAGAAAATTCTTAGCAGAATGCAAAGATCACCAAGTCTTTAAAGCTTACAAATATACTAAACCTATCAATCACGGAAGTGTTGCCCCCCTCCTTGATGATAATAACACACTAACCTCTAATAAAGAAGAACAAGCTAACCTTCTGTTTACAGGAACTTCAGATGCCCCGATCAACATTTCACTCAACAATGTTTCAATCCCTTCTTTTAACCTCCCTTTATCCTTCCCAGAAATCTCAACACTTGAGCTAAGAACAATAATCTCAAACCTCCCCAACAAAAAAGCCCGCGGACATGATGAGATAGCTAATGAAATGATAAAATGGGGTTCGGACAATAGTAGCAAACACCTCATCAATTTATTTTCTTCTTGTTTGTCATTAGGTTACTTTCCGAAATCTTGGAGACATGCAACAACAGCAATCATACGGAAAGCGGACAAAGAATTGTACTCCAACGCGGGCTCATATAGACCAATCGCCCTTTTATCTTGTCTCAGTAAAATTTTTGAAAAGATAATCACTAACAGACTTACCTTTTGGGCAGAGAATAACAACATTTTAGCAGAAGGACACTTTGGAGGAAGAGCTAATCGAAGCACCGACGATGCTAACCTATTCTTAACTTCCTGGATCAAACACAAGTGGAGAGAAAAAAAAGTAGTTACGGCTCTCTTCCTTGATGTTAAATCAGCTTTCCCTACAGTGATAAAAGAGAGAATGATTGATACTCTCATAAAAAAGGATGCCCCTCCATACTTATCCGCCATAATTAACAGCCTCCTATCCGAGCGCTCCACCTCAATAAAAATGGATGACTTCGTATCTTCTCCATTTGAATTGAAGTGCGGTCTACCGCAAGGATCACCTTTATCCCCAATCCTTTATATTATCTATAATTCTTCTCTCTTAATCGATAACCCCCTTGATTTGAACAAGGACTCTATCTCCTTAGGTTTCATCGACGACGTCACCCATCTCGTGGCAAATAGAGATGTTGGTATAGCCTCACAAAGACTAGAGCTCGAGGGAGAAAGATCGTTACAATGGGGATCCACCCATAATGCCATTTTCGATAAAAAGAAAGCTAAATTTATGGTATTCACTCACCGTCACATCCAACCCCTTCCTTTGAGATTCGGAGATTTTTTCCTTCCCCCATCACATAACAACAAGTATCTAGGTATCATCTTTGATTCTAAACTACTTTTCAGTGATCACCTCAAAAAAGTCAAAAAATGTGGTGACCAAACCGTAAATCAACTGATCCGAATCTCTCGATGCTCTTTTGGCATTGGTCTGCAACAATCCAGAAACCTAACAATCAGTGTCCTCAGATCCCGTATTCTATACGGAAGTATGATCTGGTCTTCCAATAGAATCCAAAATCAAGTCAAAAACATTGTTAACAAAATAGAGAACCAAGCTAACCGAATGATATTAGGAACCTTTCGATCTACCCCTTGCTCTTTCCTAAACAGAGAATCCCCGCTGATACCTTTCTTTGAAATGCTGAAAAGGAAAAATTTGCCCTATTTTATAAAAAAATTAACAGCCTCAGATCAACACCCGATCAAAAAACTCCTAAACTCAGAACTTTTCAACCACCCTGCTTCTCACCCCTCACCCATTCACAACATGATAGATCAACAAATTCTTCGCCAGCTCAACATCAGCACGATCGAAATCATTCAACATCACCAAATTCAACCTTGGGAAAGCTTCAGTCTTGACATCAACAACTTGAAGATAAAAAAAGAAAGCGCAAAAGAAATTGTCACAACTCAAATTAATCAAAAGAAGATTGACTCACAAAATTTGCTTTTCACAGACGGTTCAAATATTCCAGAACAAGGGACGGCTGCAGCAGCACTACTCAACAACTCAATATCTTTTGCATGCCGAATCAACAACCCAGAAGAATCCTCATCTTTCGAAGCCGAAGTTGCAGCCATCAACATAGGACTCAAAATGTTCAACAACAACCTCAACAACTTACTTTCCGGCAATCAACACAACATTTTCAACCATCAACTCAACATTTTTTGCGACAACCAAGCCACACTAACAGCCATCTCAAGACCGCCAAAACCAGTTTCACTTCAATTCAGATTCAACAAGATCTTCAACCTACTAAAACTCATCGCCTCCAACTCGACTACACCAATTCAACTATTCTGGTGCCCAGCTCATGTCGGCATCCCGGAAAACGAAAAAGTCGATACTCTCGCCAAAGAAGCAACCCCCCGCAATCAAGAATTCCAGCTAGAAAACCAACCTCGATCTCTATCAAACTTCCAACAACATATCCGCAAACAATACAAATTCAACAAATTCAAACAACCGATCATTCGAAACAACATCAGATTAACAACTTCACCATTCAAAATCTTCAACAAATTAAATCAAATGGAAAGAGGAGGAGCAGCCGCAATCTATCAACTTCGATCCGGCCACTGCCCCCTCAACAACTTTTTATTTTCCATCAAAAAGATCGACTCTCCACTATGTAATCATTGCAACGCTATTGAAGACGTCAAACACTTCATTCTATACTGTAAAAAATTCAACAACCAAAGGAAAAATTATCGTAAAAAAATTAAAGAAAACAAAATCAAAATCAACATATTCTCATTAAAATCCATTCTCGACTCGCCAACCAATTTCGATCTCTTAGCCGATTTCATCTTAGAAACAAAAAGATTCAACAACTTACAAAATTACATAGAAAACGACAAAGAATAAAAAAAAAAAAAAAAACATCTTCAACAATATATCTCATCAAGTTTCTCAATCTCTTTCTCTCACAATTTCTAAATCTCTTTTCTTATACTTTTTAATTTCTCTCACAAATTTTAATTTCTCTTTTTCTCTCTCTTTTGATTTTCTAAATTCATCTGTTTTATTTACTAATCTCAACTATTATCAAAAACCATAGATCAGTCAATTGTTGTCTAAATTTCTTTCAAAACTTATACGGGTTTCGGGGGTTCATCGATCTGGACAGGCGGGACGATTGATGGCTTCTTCTCTCTCTCAAACACATCAAATTAGAGGTTGTGGGTTAGGGCCCCACAATGCGACTTGCCTGGGAAACAAGGCGCAGAGAGTCGAGGTCATCGATTTTCCCAATTGTTCAGACACGATAAAAGAGGAGGATTTTTACTTTTTCATCATTCTCAAAAACTTTTGATTTATTTGTCCTGTCCTATCTTTTCCATTTCTATTTCCGGTTTCTTTCGGGTTTACTTCTTTCTCTCTTTTTTCTCTATTACGGTCAGTTAAAACAAAGAAATCGCTAGAAGTCATCATTTATTTACACTTAACACTATCAAGTATATTCATTTGTAGTTACAAAAACGTCTTCGCATGTATACTCACATCAGCTTTCACTGTAGTGCGCAATGTCAAAATCAATTAGCACTTAAAAAAAAAAAAAAAAAAAAAAAAAAAAAAGTAACTGGAGTATGTAACATTTGAGTTGAAACACAAGTTTCATTGGAGTTCCCACATGTCAACTGCTATGTATGTACCAGTTACATGAGATTTCTTCACAGTGGAAAATAATGAAGTGTGTTGGCAGCCGGTCTAGCTACTGTGCATTGTGATGACTGTCATGTCCACATTCCAAAGGGCCCGGCAAAAGAGGAATAACCTAAATACTTGAGCCGTAGCGCCCGAGCCCACAGGGCACCTCTGAGCGGGCCTTCGGCACGCCAAAAAATATCATATTCTGGTGGGGCCCAACACTAAACTTGGCTTGCCTGATTTTTCTCGACTGTTGATTCTGGCGTCTGACGCGGTTCAATTGCTAGCCTCAGGCAAGATAATTCCGGCAAAAGGGTTCGTGTTCCTACCTCAGTGTTTGACTTTCAAGGGTCCGCAAAGATGGGTATCTGGACCCATGGAATTCTCCAGGTTTGTCCAGGGTCCAATGCGCAATCCCTCTGAAGCATGACCCTCCAGCTATGCGACAGAGCAACGGTCTTGAGTAGGAATCGCCGTGCTCAATATGTCTTCTGCACAAAAAAAGGGGGAAGATCCCCGCTTTTGTGGGCGGCGAGCCTGTTGGTATCGTGAATCTACGAGACAGGGTCCCAAATCGAACCCTTCTGCTAAGGGTGAAAAGTATCCTGAAAAAGTGGGATCGGGTGCCAGCAACCAAGAGAAAAGGGTACAGTGGCGCCTTTGTAACATTGGGTGTCGGTCGCTGGCATCTGGATTAATTTTTTTTTCATGATGAAAGCTTTCCAACGAGACTATCCAAAGTTATAAATTCGGTTGATCGTTTCCATGGTCGCTGTTTTTCAATTATCCAGACCTCATCCACTGCAATAGTTCCCATAATACCCCACTGTTCGATAGAAATAATAACTCTCGCGGAAAACTCCTTTGCACCAATAATGCACTTCCTCCAATCAACTGTCTTTGTGCTTCTCGCCATAGCTCTAGGTCTGGTCACCGCGACGGCTGAGCAAGGCGATGCCAATCGCCCCTTTGGATGTACCTCCGTCCATCCGGTCGCATACTGCAGCCGAGAGATAGGCAATCAACAAGAAGAGGGTAAGCGCGTTTTTTGTTTTGTTTTGATAGGCAGTTGTAAAAAGGTGGACTATTAATGTTTTTCAACTTCAACAGTGATCCTAGCCACTCCGGTTAGAAACCATTTCAGTTGCGAATCCAAAGGTATGAAGAACGCCTGGTGTTGTTTCTCAAGACAGTTAAAAATCGAAGTTGTGAGCTACTACATGTCTCTTTGGGGAATCTTATTCTTGAATGATGAGCTAACCATTCACTTCCGTCATCTCAAAAACCTCTTCTTTTCCAGGTTGGAGGTCACAAAAGAGTCTCAACAGCTAACCGCCACGATGTTTGTGTACCCGGACGAGCACCATCCAAGAAAAACTAGGCTGCGGAGAAGTTAATACCTCCACTCAAAGTATCTTCAGCATATTCGATACGCACCAAACAAAGTCCCTCCTTGGTTACACCGTCATTCCGCTCCTTCCTTACCTTCGAGACCTATGCACGGAGTTTTCCCAATGTTCATAGCCACTCTTTTTGTTGATAAATCCGCCTGATTTCTGCAAGAGTCTTCATTGTTAATAATTGTCACCTTCCTTGCCTCTTGATTCACCGCCGCCCGCATCAATTTCTTCCTCTTGTATTGCGTCAAAATAAATCAGTCCATTGATATGTTACTGCATCATTTCCAAGAACCACACACGGTCCAACTCCTACATCTTTTCCTTCAATCCCATTTGGATTGCTTCTAAGAGAATGCCCCGCTGGGTTCCATTGTGAGCCTTTTTGGCTGAGGAATAATGTTTCTTCAGAATTCTGACAAGACGACGTTTCTTCAGGATCTGATCAAAGAGATTTCCTGCAAGACTTGAGAGTACCGTTCTTTGCTTGTGGATTGGTAGGAAGCGGGGTTAATGAAATTCAACAAGCGTTACTCAAATTAATAATACCAAATCTATAATCAACTAAAGACAAGAAGACAAGTCCCCTTCACTACTCTAGCCAGAGATGAAAAGACTTCCATCATTTAAAGCTACACTGTACTTTTCATATAATCAAAGTGAAGGATTTGATCGAGAGGGTAACACGGCACATGAAAACACGTGGATTTGCAGGTCAGGTGTGCCGCTTTGAACCAAATGAGCACACACTTGGGCGTGAAAATAGCGCCAGAGGAGAAAAAAGTGCTGGCAGCTATTTGCACCACACTGGGCAGTCACAAGCCTGTCCACAGATTTTCGCGCGAGGAGGAGAACAAATCCAAACCTAACCCTGAGAGGCTGAGGGAGATGTCAACGGCCTGTCATCGATCGGGCTGTTGCACCCGAGCCAGCCAACTGCCACTCGGCGCCCCCTGCCTCCGGTCCAGCAGTCGAACCTTAGCAGAACGACACCCAAGAATAGGACGAGGATGACTTCGAATATCGGTGTACCAACAAAACTACTTCATGAAGCACTCGGCCACGTGATCACCGTCGAACTCAAGACGGGACAGGTCTATCGAGGCAAACTCCACGATGGTATCTCTTCGTCCATTTATCCCTATCACCAATTCGTCACTCTCCCACCTGAAGTTCTGAAGGCTGATGTGGGCGCTTGTTTTGGGTTGATCGGTAGCCGAAGATAATTTGAACATCTCCTTGAAAGATATCACCGTCACTCATCGAGATGGACGAGTGACTCAGCTCGATCAGGTGTACATTCGAGGCCCGATGATTCGTCTATACGTGGTTCCTGATATGTTGCAGAATGCTCCTATGTAAGTATCCTTCTTTAATTCCGCAATCGAAAATTTCGTTCTTCGATCTTTCTCTCGGTACGGTTTTTTTTTTATTTAAACTCGTTTTTTAATGCTTTATTTCCTTTTCTGTCGGTACTGTAGGTTCAAGCGAGGTACGGGAGTCAAAGGACGCGGGATTGGAACGGCACGAGGACGGGCAACGATCCAGCGGGCCCAAGGTTCGCGCGTTCAACCCGCTCATATTGTTCGACTGACGAGGCTTGCTGACTTATCTCCTCATTCCCTTCTTGTCTTTAGCTCGGCGGGGACGTGGTGGTCCATCTGGAGGAGGGAGGTCAGGTGGCGGTGGAATGAGGCGCCAGTAATAGATAGACCAAGGGACCCAGCTTACCTCGCCATACAGCTAGAACCCCGCAGACTAGAAATCGATGTTGTTCCTTCCTTTCTTTCCTTTTTTTTTGTAACCCTCAAATAAAACCGTGGCCGAAATGATGGAAAAAGCCTTCCAACTGGGGTAGGCATCATTTACCGGTGGCTCTCTCAACTCGCCAGTCTCATGAAAGATTTCTTAGGGGACTAACCGTATCTCAAATTTTTTCATTGCACAAGTTCCTTTCAAAAACTTCTACATGGTGTGAGTTAGATTGGCCTCTCATGATTACCACAGCCCTCTCTAACCTCATCCTGTTTTACAAGCTTCCTCTCAAGATCCGGGGGCTATGCTGTCCCACATCTTGCGCCTTTCCCAGTCACAATTCCTTGTAATATGATCATGAGCGTTCCGTTGATTTTTTTCGATCTTCCCGGGGCTCATCTCTTCAATTCAGCCAAACTCCTGGGCATGTGCTATGTACAGGCTGATGGACCGGAACTCGGCTCATCGAGAGACTGGTCTAATCGCAAATACGACGCGTTTGATGGTGCTAAACTTAGATGACATGTAAGTAAATTGATCTAGATGGATCAACCAATCAAGGCAGAAGTGTCTTTGATGTTATTATTTCATGAGGTGTCAAGAATTCTATAAACTCTTGTAGCCCTAATCAAGAGGAGTTGGCTATCATTTTGCTCACTTTGAACGGGCTAGAAGTGAGGCATGAATCCTATGTGACTGAATCATCAAACTATTTGCATGGCTTGAATGGTTGACACTAAAGGGTAGGGGAATATCGTCATTCTTAGGCATAAGCAGTCTAACGTAAGTTGATCTCGAGAAATTCAAAATTAAAATGTTCATTCTCTTGAGCTCTGAAGAAGATACATAGACTATGGATTATTTTTATCTTCACCTCGCGCAATCCTTAGACACTCCTCCTTGAATCCAACGACTTGAATGATCGTAAGGCCGCTGTCCTGCAACTTTTTGACTCCCTCACAATTAACGAAGTCGTCTGGTTCGACGACCCCCAAGAAGATGTTCTTGATCCTAAGATGGGGATGATGAGACCGATTGAACTGGAGGATGAGATCGGCACAGGGTTTATTTCCGGAGAGTCGGATGGAACACGGCTCCATGGTTGTGTAGAGGTCCAAGTCCCCAGCCAGCATACTCGACGAAGGTCCATCCAGTGGTGATAGCTTCATTATCGCACATTGTTCGGCATGGGTGTTGCCCTCTAGTTCCCTCGAATATCCCTCAGAGACCACCTCGCCCGTTCCGGTCTTCGTCATCAGACATCCTACACAGAACGCCGTCGGGATGGGTTTGCAGAGACGAGCCAGTGCAATCGCTTTGCGCATGCATTCGAGCGGGATTTCGTCTAGATTCGATAACACCAAAGGACTCCCTCCTTAGCGCGCATGTTCTCCACTTCCGAGCCTGTCAGCTATAATAGAGGGCTTCACTCACCCGATGTCGTTAGCATTTTTTCGTGGCCCTGTCCCTGAAGAAATGCTGAATTTGAGTGAACCTGGCCAGCACCCCCCGTTCCCCTTCCGCAAAAAGGTCAGGCCCCGTCACATGTGCCCGGTTTCCCTACCCGCGGGGACCGGTTATAGTTAAATATATGCACCACTCTTAATTTCCGGTTATCAATCTGCAGCCGGTCTTGACTTGAATGATAGCATCCATGGTCACCATCTTCACCCGGCGGAAATCCATGCCAAGCCAGCGGAGTCATTGATCGAGCTAAAGAATATCGCTGACGGAGTCCTATGTACCCAGGTGTGCCACTTCCGAGCAGACATCCTCGGGCAAACTGGTGAAGGTACACCCTTCTCAGTCCTAGTACTACATACTGCTCGCGAAAAAGCATTTCCCGCCCAGCGGCAGACTGGAGAGTAAAAACGAGGTTGCCAGACGCCCTCTTCCTGCCCTCAGAAGTCAAGACTCCTGCGCGGCCCCCCATAGAGCTTTGAGGTTAGAAAATCACAGGCTCCCCAGGTTCCCACCCGGAAGCCCACTGCCCACACATGAGAGCGACTTCCTTCTGGACCCCACAACACAGGGTGCCAAAGATGAGGGGCCCTGCCCAGGCTGGCGCCTTGCCTACCTTCCAAAAAAACAGCGCATCACTTTGGTACGAACCTTGGATGGGATTCACAATAGTGAGCGTGTTAAAAACTCAAAAACACGATCATCTATTGCATCATACAGTGCTCAAGTCTCTCGAAAGAATTAACTTTTGCAATAGGCGTGTCGACGCCATTCTAGTCGAGTTGCTGAGAAGCGGTAGAATGTGAAGGGAGCGTCTGCGAAATAGTCTTCTTTGCTCAAGTAGATCAATGATATCATCGCTGGCTATTTCGCAAGGATCAGTGAAGGTGTGCGTCATCGACTCATCATCCAGAACAACATCGAAGAAAACAAGAGTTGTTCTAGTGCGGCATCCAAATTGTCGCCATGGAGCTGCAATTCAAACGAAGATGCAGGGTAGAGCAGAGCATTGACTGATCACTATCTATGGATCACACTGACCGAAAGCTGAAGAGGATAGGAGAGAGGACCATAGGGAGAGTACTACACAGAGGTTGCGCGCCAGCTGGAAAGCTATAAAAGCAAGGCCTTCCATGTCCACTTGGCCATTCCTCAGCTCACTCCAGCACTCAGCAGCCCAGCCAGCACTCGATAAGCCGATCTCCCCAGAAAACAAAAACCAAGACCCTAACGATAGACCCAACAACACAACATGCACGCCAGAAGATCCTTGCTTTCTGTGATCTTGGTCGTGTCGGCGCTTGCCGGACTTGCGTCGACCGCCCCATCCTCCAACAACCTGGCGGCTGCCACCAACCCCTCGTCTGAGACGGGAAGCTCAAAGAATGACGGCGCCGGCAGCGACCCTCATGGTCATAAGAAGCGAGGCAGCGACCCCCAACCTTCCCCAGACCAGCCGAAGAAGGTGAGTGAGATGCCCGACGCAAATCCACGGACGGATGGCTTGAATAAAGGAGCGTACTGACTTTTGACTACCTTCTGTCTGGATCTTCAACCGTATAGCCTGAAACACCTAATCGTCGTCACAAGCGAAGCAGCGACCCACCTGCTGCAGATGACGCGAGCAAAAAGGTGAGTGGAATGCTTGGCTGAATACAGTGACAGGCGGACGAAGTTGAGCTTTGGCAAGCAGTAACGCTAACATCCTTTCTGGCTCTCCAACCACATAGCCTGATGGACCTAAACCTCGTCACAAACGAAGCAGCGACCCACCTGCCGCAGATGACGCGAACAAAAAGGTGAGTGGGATGCTTGTCAAGTGACAGACGAGTGAAGTTGAGCTTTGCCCATGAGTAAACACTAACATCCTTTCTGGCTCTCCAACCGCATAGCCTGATGGACCTAAACCTCGTCAAAAACGAAGCAGCGACCCACCTGCCGCAGATGACCCGAACAAAAAGGTGAGTGGGATGCTTGGCTAGATCTAGCGAGGGACGGGCGAATATGAGCTTTGCCGAAGCTAGTGTACTGACGTCCTTTTTGGCTCGCCAACCGTATAGCCTGATGCACCTAAACCTCGTCAAAAACGAGGCAGCGACCCACAAGCAGATGACCCAAACAAAAAGGTGAGCGGGATGCCTGGCTAAGTACAGTGACAGAGGGACGAGGGTCAACTTTGGCAAACAGAGTGCTAACATCCTTTCTGGCTCTCCAACCGCATAGCCTGATGCACCTAAACCTCGTCAAAAGCGAGGCAGCGACCCACAAGCAGATGACCCAAACAAAAAGGTGTGTAGCTAGCGACACAAAGTTGAGGTTTTCTGAAGAGTGTACTGACGTCCCTTCTGGTTCTCCAACCGTATAGCCTGATGCACCTAAACCTCGTCAAAAACGAGGCAGTGACCCACAAGCAGATGACCCAAACAAAAAGGTGAGCGGGATGCCTGGCTAAGTACAGTGACAGAGGGACGAGGGTCAACTTTGGCAAACAGAGTGCTAACATCCCTTCTGGTTCTCCAACCGTATAGCCTGATGCACCTAAACCTCGTCAAAAACGAGGCAGTGACCCTGCCGCAGATGACCCTAACAAAAAGGTGAGTGGCATGCTTGTCAAGTGACAGACGAGTGAAGTTGAGCTTTGCCAAATGATGTACTAACATCCTTTTTGGCTCGCCAACCACACAGACTGATGCACCCAAACCTCCTCCCAAGAAGCGAAGTGCCGATAACAAAGCCGCAGACTCCGTAATCCAGGTAAGCGAGATGATTGGTTGTGTTCTGTGATAGATCTGCACGACTCATAACTGGCATACTCTCCCATGATATCACAGAACACTCCTCAGTTCAATAGCGCCGAGGGCGATGGCAACAAGAAGGGAACGCCAGCGAAGCCTGACCCCCATGCCGTCGTCCAGGCTAAGCGAAACGAACCCGCCCCTTCATCGGAAGACGATAAGAAGAAGGTAAGCCCTTACAAATCCGGCTATACCCTTATGTTACCCTTCTTGCTTCCCCTTTTCCCATTCTTCCCTCAATTCGCATACGCCCTTGACTGACCGGAACTACTATTAGACACCCAACGCCGTTCATCAGCTTGGGTGTGATGCTACCACTGGCGACTCCAATAAGGCAACCACTGCCGTCCATCAGCTCGCGTGCGACGGTGGTGCTGCTGCTAAGACAGACGCCGCCGGCGCTACGACTACCGGCGGTGCCGACACCACGAAAACCGCTAATTAGAGGAAATATATGTGTTGGATGGTGCGTCCTAAGGCTCATTTCGCCTTTCTTCTGTCTTGCATCTTCCGCTTGTCGGTTAACAGTTGAAGAACTTACGGTGATGATTCTGTCCCTCGTCTCCCTGCGGACCCCGCTTTGATATCTCAATCTATAGAATCGATCGATCGATTCGATTCGATTCGAAGAACTTTCCTCACTTATTTATTCAGTCCCATCATCTGTCATAGTTTTTCTTCTTCCTCTTGATTATGTATAGCAACCACATGTTTCTCCAGAAAAAGAAATGTCAATGGAAGTAGGAATGTTACGAACCTCTTGACGCAAACCCGTTGTTTATTAGAATATATATGAATCCCCCCCCCAACAAGAAATGTATAAGCACTTCTTTCAGATTCACTTCCCTCTTTTCTAAACGTTCACACAGTCGAACAAACATGAGTGAGTTCAACTTCCAAGGGATTAGTTCTTAATAATATTCGCGTCTTATCATCGACCCTTGTGAGTTTTGCGAGCGTTCTGGAGAGGCTGGAGTTGACATGGGAGTTATAATCCACCCCAACGTGGACCACTTACATCTAGTCTACTTCGATTTAGCCGATACAAGGAACCTACCCTCATTGGCTCTTTCCCTCCTTTTGCAACCCTGAGCCGGCCCAGCATGAGCGTCCCTCAGATCAGCTGCCCATCTCTCCTGAGACTTCATCCCCTGTTTTTTGAAAACTTAAAACCACTACTATTTCTTTTTTCGCTCTTCACTTTGACTTTGCCGCTTACTTTGTTTCATTTTCCATGCTTGATTTCCTTTTTACTTTGAGACTTTGTAATTCGAGTCTTACTCGCCTCCATCTTTGGACGTTAACCTATTTTTTGAGACTGTTTCTAGAGCAAAACAAATATTGCAGGTTGTTTTTAGATGAGAAGGAGAAATAACAAATTAGGCGGAAAGAAACTCACTGCAAAATGTAACAACAATCAACCAAAGCTACCCCATTTTCTCACACATCATTTGGCTCATAAGTGGAATGCAAAATCCAAAACGAGAGATAGCCATTTTGTAACACATCATGCAACCATCAAACGTTTTTTAGATTATTTTTTTTCTTTGTCGACTTTTTTGGCACGTCGTTTCACATAGTTTCGGGATCTAGGTTGATGAGAAGGGGATTTATGTAATGTCACCAGTGGCTTCGAGGCCATTCTACATGGTCGAGTTGATGAGAAGTGGTACGTAGATGTGAAGGAAGCGTCGGAAAAATATGTCTTTGCTGCCCCAGCCAACCTGTAGATCAATGATATCATCGATTCTCATTCCAAGGATCAGTGAGAGTGCCCTTAGTACTCACCATTCAGAATATCGAAGAGTCCAATACATAAGAAGATGCAGAGTAGATCCAAGCATCGACTGATCACTATCTACGGACCACACTCACCGGGAGCTGGGAGGTCCATGGGGTACTACACACAGGTTGCACGCCAGATGAAAAGCTATAAAACCAAGGCCTTCCCTGTCCTGTTAAGCCATCCCTCAGCTCACTCCAGCACTCAGCAGCCCAACCAGCACTCGTTAATCGAAACTCCCCAGTAAAAACCAACACCCTAACAGTAACAATAAACAATACAGTCAACATGCAAGCCAGAAAGACCATGCTTTCTTTCATCTTGGTGGTGTCGGCGCTTGCCGGACTTGCCTCAGCCGCACCATCTTCCGCAATGGCCGCTGATGGTGAAGGCAACAACTACTCCCACGCTGTTCTCCGGGCCAGGCGAAACGAATCCCCTGCATCCGATGGTGAAAAGAAGGTAAGCTTTCAAAATCTGCCTACAACAGGCCAGCAATTGTGTTCCCTTTGTTGTTCCCCCCTTTCCCTTCCTTCCCTCATGTCGGAAACGTCAAAGACTGACCGGAACTACGGTTAGACACCCAATGCGATTCATCAGCTCGCCTGCGAAGATGCTGCTAAAGCAGGCACTCCCGCGCCCGGCGACGCACCTAAGACACCCAATGCCGTTCATCAGCTCGCGTGTGATGGTAGTAAGCCAGTCGCAGACCCTAATGCCACTGCCGGCGGTGTCGACCCCACGAAACCCACCAATTAGAGGAAAAATGCATGGTGAATGGTGCGTTGTACTGCTTATTTCCCCTTTCTCCAATCTTCCATTCCTTTGCTTGTAGAGTTGACCAACTTACAGTGCTGATTCTGGCCCTCGGCTTCTTGCAGACCTCACATTGACATCTCAATCTAAAGAATTGATCGATCAACTCGATTCAGAGAGCTTTCCTCATGTATCCAATCCCATCATCTTCCATAGTATTTATATCGTTATGTATAGCAACATCATCTCTCTCCAGCAAAAGAAATGCCAAAATCAGTAGGAGTAACACTATCATCTTGACCCAAATCCGTTGTATATGAACCCCCTGCCCCCCAAGAAATGTATAAGCGATTCCTTCAGACTCAATACATATCATCTTTTCTCAATGCTCACAAAAAGTCCTTAATTGAGAACAAACATGAGTGGGTGCGAGTGAGTTCGCAGATATTTACATGAACAAGTATGTTTTCAGATTCAAGCCTCTCTGCTTTAAAGCTCCTTCGGATTGTCGCAAGTTCAGCTTATGCCCTCAATGTCCTACATAGCCCGCTTGGGCTCCAACTTTCCATATCCATCTCTTCACACCCTTCTCGACTTCTCGATTCTTGTGGATTTTGCTAGCGTTTTCGAGCGGCCAGAGTCGGCCCTGGAGTTGATACCTTGCAGAGCAAACTTCCCTCTAGCGCCTGCCAATAGAGCACTGCTCAGCACCGCCTCACTCTGCTTGTGACTTCAATTCTAATCTTTCTACTCAAACGTTGAACGCGCTTTTTTTCCTTATCTGTCCTGGGTGAGATGTGGGCGATGTTCTTCTGTGAATTTTTCGGAACGATCGGCCCGACGAGTTCCGAAGTGAGAACGCATCATCTCCGTCTGTGAGGATATAAAAAGGCTTCCCCAACGCTTGATCATTCCCTATCAGTTTTTTGTCCCACCAGTCCTTCCTCAGCTTGGACACGTTACCACTTCTTACATATCAGAACAAGAAATTCAAAAGAATCCAAAATGCCCGTCCGAACGGCCTTGCTTTATCTCATCCTGAGTGTCTCGGCGCTTGTCGGTCTTGGCTCGGCCGCCCCGTCTTCGACCCAAGACGCCTTAGACCACGTTAGTGCTCTTTTCCCCGCTCACAACAAAATAGCCTGCATCACTGCTCGATGCTAAATATATAACACCAACGAAACGGGGTCGGAAATCCGACAGTCCCATGCCATCATGCAAGCAAAGCGGAACGAACTCGCCGTATCGGACAAGAATCTTAAGAAGAGTCGCGACGTAAGCCCTCAAAAGCCGGCAATGTAGCCCCTTATCTATTCTGGTCTGCCTTCGATCGTCAAAGACTCACCCGAATGACCACTGCATCCTCCCCCCGCCACTCCTCAGGCTTCCAGCGTCGCTAGAAGTGGGGATCCTGATAACCTTCCCGGTCGCGATCCACCCAAGCCCCCGGTATAAACTTGAGGTATGTCCTGCAGTCTCATTTGGCTTTTCTTCAATCTTTAATCCCGCTCCAGTCTATCTTGATGTGAACCATAATCAGTCTTGAAAAATCGCTGATGGATAACACATCGCACAGGGAGGATAGCCAAGGATATCGAGATTAATACATACAGCTTGAAAACCCAAGGAACAATAGTGTTGGGGTTTGACGGATATCAGGGATGGACTGAAAGATCCAATGAATCCTATGTCCACTATGGCACTGAGAATATGTATGAAAGAAATACAAGCAGAAACGTGAGCCCACCGCAGAGCTGGAGAAGCCCCAGCTGGTCGACAAGCTATCCCGCCGGCCTGGAGCTTGTGCATACCACTCCTCGGGAAGCTTTAAGAATGTTCTTGTGACAACGGAGAAATCATGAAAAGTTTGGATGAGAGGTGGGTTTTCGGGACTTGATGAAATAAAAGAGAGCCGAGTTCCAAAAATAATAATAAAAGAAACTGGAAAGAGTCTGTTGAATCAATACCTCGATTGGTCAACCAATACATAAAAGTGACTGCGATCCATACGGGCGACCAAAGCTGGGTTTAACTTAAGGCAGCGGACACGTGAGATTCAAAGCCAGGCTGTTCATTGGCCTGGTATTTTTTAGTCATCCTTCATGTGGATCCTAACTTTTTTTGGATACATATGTAACCGTGTCAAGTATATTTATTTGTATAAGTAGCAACCGGCTTGGTTCCGGAGGCATCTTTACCAGAGCCTCTTTTTTATCGATCTGTTAATTTTCTACAGTTGTCTCCCCTTACACAACTTCAGAGGTCATTACTCCCTCCCCCCCCCCCCCCCCCTGAAGGAGGCTCTAAAAGGAAGCAAAGCAGGACCAGATTTTGTGTGTTCGAATCGCCCGGCTCTTTATAAAATATATTAGCTGATGAAGCCCCTTTAAGTGCGGGTTATGGGCCTCCGTCGGACGAAGTGGGAATTCCTATCAGCACAGCGTTCGTTGGAATCCTCCCCATCAAATCGTCCCAAACCACTTCTCAAGTGTAAAGATCAAGCTTCGTTTGTGTGGTAACCACTTGGACTGACTTGAGTCGGCCCCGAGCGGAGAGCTAGTCGGTCCCGAGAGCTTTCATGAACAGATCCCGATCGGCCGTCAGGACTCAGGAGTATGATGTCTATTACATAGGTTGCTTATCCTGGGGGACCCATCAGATTATATCCACGCCCAATAGCATAGTTTCTCTTGCGGGCAACCAACAGCAAGAAGAACCCCTTCCTCCTCGTCTATCGTTTTTCTCTTTCAGTCTCCAGGGCGCATAAAGATGTCCACGAAACCGGGCTCCTAATCCGTCGCGACTCCGATCCAGAGCAGACGCCTCAGCCCCCCCCCCCCCATCACGAGAGCTATACTATCCACCCGTGTGTTGTTGCATCTTCGATTTACACTCGAAACTGATCTCCATCAGCTTACAATATCGGCAGAGATAGATATAGCTGGATGACTGATTTCCAGTCGATCAGGGGCTCCTGATGTGCGCGTGTCCTCCCCGAGAGGATGTGTGTCGACCCCCCTATCCTGTGTGAGTGTACACGGCGTCAAAGCGATCATAAAAAGCAGAGGATCAAGAGGGGAAGGGGGGGAGGGTTACTGAACTATTGAGGGACAGTATAACGAGTTTAGCTATTTACATAAATCAACACACGAGCCAAAGGCGATGGGCAACTATAGTGCACCCTCACTAATTAGCTTCCGACTGGACCAGCCATCGACGGAGTGGCGGAAGCCTATCTCAGTGACGAGTGCGAGTCTCTTACTGCTGTTTGTGATCCCGATCATCCTGCAAGGCTCGCTGCTGCATCCGAAGTTTGCTCGCTGGCGGCTTGGACGATGGGTGCGGCTGGGGCTGACGCCGATGAACGTCTATCTGGGCCTGAAGGCGCCGCTCGAATACGTGATCGTGCCCGTCGAACGCTGCGGTGGATTCAACTTCTGTCTCTGCATCTGGGGCACACAGTTGGCCCTCAAGGCTCTCCTCTTCGGCCTCTCCCCCGGTTACCTCCAGGGAAGATGTTGGACCCGGGACGAGGCCGCGTTGACCCCTAACGAGAAACTTTACACCCTGCAGCCCCCTCACCAAAAGGATGATTATAGCTGGAAAGAAGTCGCCCAATGGACCCTCAAACATACCCTTTCGTATGCCATCTTCTCTCGCTCTCTCTTCGTTCCCGTCATTCAGTCTTCCTCTAAAACCGTGTTTCTCGTGATTCTTCCTTAGTCCGCGAGGAATCCAATACGGATGGGGCTTGAAGAGCGAGTTGAACCAACGAACGTTCGGGCAAGTGTTGAAACGGTTATACAAAGTGCACGTCCTTTCGCTGATAGCGACAGGATATTGTGTGGCGAGTCGGGACTATGGTTCGCCTACGAAAGTGTTAGTAGGGCTCGGCTTACCGGAGACGATATGGACGACGATAGTAGCCGAGTTCCTCGCCTCCCTGAGTTTCCCGGCCTACCTATTATCATGGTTCGACATCGGGTACACATACCTCAGCCTGAATGCCTACATGATCAGCTGGCTCCATCGCGAGAAAGGCCTGCCCGTCCCGGAATCGATCATGGAATGGCTCGACCCCAGACTCTACACCGTCATCTTCCAGTCCCCGCATACCGTCTCCTCCTTGAACGAACTTTGGTCCAAGGGCTGGCACCAATTCCTCAGGGCTGATCTCATCTTCTTCGGCGCAAGACCCGCTATCTCTTTAGCTAAGAAGGCCGGGCTCTCGAAAAATGCACAGAAGATTTGCAGTCTCTTTGCCGTCTTCATCCTCAGTGGAATCTTACACGAGATCTGTAAGATTATTCCATCCATCCATCCATCCTTTTTTTTTTTTCTATTTGAGGATTTTAAGATGGGAGGGGGGGAGTCTCAAGAAAGAAGTGACTAACGGAATGTATTAATGATTAATATGATCGATGAGGGGGGGAGTCTCAAGAAAGAAGTGACTAACGGAATGTATTAATGATTAATATGATCGATCAACAGATGTGCTTTCGTCGGTATCAACGAAGATCTCGTTGACGAGTTATCTGCGAGAGACCCCGTTTCCGGGGACGTTTTTCTTCTTCATGATCCAGCCGCTCGGGATCCTGGTGGAGCCCTTGATAATCCCCTGGATCCCGAAGCTCGTGGGCGGCGGCACGCTGTGGGTCTGGCTGTTCTCCTTGCTGATGATCACCCCCTATCGCAAGGCCTTGCTCGGCCCCTTCGGCGCGATCGATCAGGCCCTCCCGCCCCTCCCTCAATGGCCCCTCTATTCTTTCTTCGTCCCCGGTACTCTCTATCGTCTCCGTTAATCGCCATCTCTCTCTTTTACTCCTCTTAAATTCTTCACTTTTTTGTTCTCTCTCTCTCTCTTTCATATTGATCAGAAACTCCCCCCCTTTGAAATGATCCTCATACTACTACATTGTATTTATAAATCTCTGGTTTGAAGTTTCCCTTGGATAGAAGGTTCAATTCAAGTTGATTTTTGATAGACTTAATGAAGTATTAATTAATTACCAAAATACCCTTTAATATAAGATTCACTTCCAACACACGATTGATCATGTTTCGAAACTTGCGAGAGAGAGAGAGAGCTTGTGACAAAAACCCCTAAAAGGCTTTAAAGTTTTTGTCTCGAATATCAAAAGGTGTAAATAATATTTAAATTTGACTTGAACGTTGAGGCTTGGCGGATACATGCCCTTTTTTTGAGACAAGTCGTTCATGTATGTGTAGGCTGCGGAACAGATCTTGGCTATAACTTGGCGTCATAAATCGTTTGAATGACGACACGAAACCTTCGAATGGAAAGCTTCATTGTGATGCGTCATATTGGTTTCTTTTTTGTTCTGTATATCTTGGAAGTTACTGCTGGACCAATGTAGCTTATGGACATGATGCGAGGAGATACTGCACGTTTGTTTTCCATGCGCCTGCAGGCTGCCAGCTTGGTGATCTTGAAGCGTGACACAAGCTCTGGGTCTGGCCCTTGATTCCGATGCGACGATGATGATGATGATTGATTTGTATGATACTGGGCCGGGGTGATCTTGCTGGGTTTCATATCCTGACAAAAACTTCTGGGCACCCAATCCAGTCGCACGACGTCCCAAGGACAGACACAGCACCCCCTGCCACTACTTCCACTCTCAACACATAAATATTTATATTTCCACCTAGACAGACCAACCTCAACATCCTAGTCTTCCATAAGGAGTACATACAATCAGCGTAACGTGATTCCCATTCCTCTTCGTGCTTGCATGGATCAAGACTGACTCTCGTGTGTGTGCCGTACATAGTCTTGATCGCATCCATTTGATCGTCCTTGGCCATCTCAACCTACAAAGGTAAGTATTTATTTGCATGTTTTCCGGGAGCTTGAAGCTCTCAAAGAGTAGAACATCACTGACATAAAATATTTGAATATCCAGACACTGTCACAGACATAAACAGAGTTGATTCAAAAAAAAAACCATGCCATTAGTATTGCCCAAGTTCCCTCACCATTGGTCGGAGCTATCAGCACAAGCCAAAGGGCTACTGACGCCGAACGAGGACAAGAAGAAGAAGCTACAGAAGCCGATCCAAGAGGACGACTCGGAAGCCCACCAGGTCTTCCGGGCCGCCCATCTCCATTCCTCCTCCATCAAACGCAATGTCAGCAAGAAGAAGAGCTCCACCAAACCCTCTTCCTCGCAACAGGCTGAGAAGAAGATCCAGAAAGGCCCCAGTGCATCCTCCTCGACCGAGAAGATCGTAAGGTCTGCCGTCACCTCCCCCACCCCCTCCGAACCCGACGAAGACGATATGCTCCCCGGTATCAGCTCCCCCGGCTCCACTGGCGTCATCTTCGTCATGGATCGCGCCATGGCTAATGGGTTCTCCTACGACGACCCCACTTGGGCTAATTTCGGACAAGGTCATCTCTCTCTCCCTTTTCTGGTCCATCCAAAATTCTTACTCTTCTCTTCATCCTTATAGGCGCACCCGAGGTAGGCGATATTCCGGGCGCGAGCCATAAACCGGCCGTCATTGATGTGGCCGCGATGGGCGAAGATGTGCACGAATGTACGTGTGTTTGGTGGACCCATTCTCTCCCTCTCTTTGTCTTCAGACCAGGGGGGGAGAGAAATGCACAGCGAGAAACTCGCCTCTTTGTTCTTTTTTTTGATGATTGATTGTGGGGATGGGGGTGCTCTATAGATGCGCCGACGACCGGGGTCAAGGCGCTTCGTGCAGCCGTGGCAGATCTTTATAATCACACTTATCGAAAAGGCATGGATTCTCAATACACCTTCGAGGTCCGTCGTCGTTTTCTTCCTTTCCCTTTCTTTCTTTTTTTCTCCAGTCGTGAAAAAGGTTTCTTTTTTTTTTTTCTTTGAGATGTGTGTTCTTTTTTGTGAGGGGTTGATAAGAGGCTGATCTTGTGTTGCGTTTTTTTTTTGGTGAACGATTGATCGATCGGGGTATATAGAATGTCTGTATTGTCCCGGGAGGTCGGTCGGGGTTGACCAGGTGAGTCCGATGAGGTCTCGATCAGTTCTGGATAAGATCGGAGTAAGAAGATGTAGACACCAGGCTGACATATGTTGTCTTTGTTTCTGTATGAAACGGCAGAGTAGCGAGTGTAGTGGGGGAGGTATATGTAGGCTACCAACTACCTGAGTACACGGCGTACGACCAGATGCTATCGGTGTTCCGACGACTAGTGCCGATCCCATCGGCGCTCTCGGCCGAAGACAACTACAAGCTGCACATCGACAAGCTGAAGGAAAACATCAACCAGATGGGCCTCTCGGTCCTCTTTGCCTCCAACCCCAGGAACCCCACCGGCCAGGCCGTCGAAGGATCCGAGCTCGAGGAACTCGTCCAGGTCAGTCGCAACGGTCAGACCGTCGTCTTGGACGAGTTCTATAGTTGGTATAATCTCGACGGCCAGCTCGGCGAAAGTCTTTCGGCTGCTAAATACGTCGAAGGTCAACTGCTTTCTCTCTCTCTCTCTCTCTACACTTGTTATCATGTTCTGGTTGTCCTGTAGATCGATAAGCTCATCATCGACGTTCTTGTTACTTAGATGTTAATAAGGACGCTTTGGTCATCATTGACGGATTGACCAAAAACTGGCGTTGTCCAGGATGGCGAGTATGCTGGGTGATAGGGTAAGCAGTCGACGGACGATTTGCAAATTTTTTATTTTCTCTGGAGAAGATGGATGAATGAAGACTAAGAGGATAAAGTGAATGAATATTCTCAGACCGAAGCCATTGATCGGAGCCTTATCACAGAGTGGAAGTTTCCTGGATGGAGGGGCCAGTCACATCATGCAGATGGCCGCTATCCCTCTGCTCAACTTCGACCGGGTCGAGAAAGATAAGCTGGCCTTGCAGGTCCATTTTAGGATGAAGAGAGATCGCGTCTTGGAGCGCTTGGAGCAGATGGGCTTGAAAGTTAAAATCCCTCCCAAATGGACCTTTTATAGTTGAGCAGTTTCGGAGGAGACTTATAGAAAAGTCCAAACATTGTATTGATGTTCTTTTCCCTTATTGTACCTTCTTTTTTGCAAACAATTTCAGTTTGGCTTGAGTACGTTTGCTTTTTTTTGTTTGTTTGACCAAATGTGTTCATGAATAGATTACAAAAGCTGATGACCGGAATTTTTGGATTGTGATGATCAAGCTTGTCGGATCTCCCACCGCCATTGAACAGTGGATTGGTTTTCTTCGAAGAACTCCTGAAACAAAAAGTGATTGTTGTTCCTGGGATCTTCTTCGATATCAATCCCTCTCATCGAAGGAATTTGTTCTGCTCTCCTTGTCATCATTGTAAGCTCTCCTTTCCTCATCCGCCCCATTCTTGTTGGACTAATAAGAGTCGGACGATTTTTGATGAACTGTTGGTCATTTCCTTGATTCCTTAGTCGTCAGATTGTCCTTTGGTCCTCCCTTGCCTCAATTGGAAAAAGGTTGGAATCTTTTATATGACTCATTTGTGCACAAACAAGAACAGATTTTGTGACTGAGCATTAATCTTCTTTATCATCAAAAAATGATGTATTTTAGGCTTAGATGGGATTGAACAAGTCTTGAAGAAAGCGTATGACCATTTGACGACTGTAAGAACTTCCTTTTCCGGTTCCATTGATTCTTCTTCTTCTCCTTCTCTCTTTGAAAACAAAAGAAAGTGGACAGATCAGGGAGAAGAGAAGAACAAGAGGCTGATAGTTGGTTTTGTGGTTGATAATCATCTAGGATGGACATCTGCTCGAGATGGGAAAGAACTTGGCGCCTCAGTTGAATCGCAGACTTTCTATCGCCGCCGTTCATGGAGTCGCGGACTCTAGCAAACTCTCTTCTCCTCTCCCTTAATCCCCTTCCCCCCCTTTTTTTTGGTTCTTTTATCAGACTTGTTTGCTCACTCTTATCAAATCAAAATCGGAGGAAGATCGTATTGAATACATCAATTGAAAGTGGGGATAAAAAAAACTCATTTAGTCGTGGTTTTTTTTTCTTATTCATTCCTTTTGTTTTCAGGTTTGATCAGACTCCATCTGAATCCTTCCATAAAAAAAAGTAAGGAACAAAAAAAAAGCAGCCAAGTGGGAAGTGTGAATGTCGACATAAAAAAAAATAAACGCAAAAAAAAAACAAAATGTGGACATTTGAAGTGTTTGTTATTAGGATTAGAAAAACGAAAAAAAGGAAGGAAGCATGTATATAGATATATAGATTGATAGATCCATCCATTCTACACTTGTCTGTTGTTTTTTTGAAGTGTTGAATACATTAGAGTCAATGAATCAATCAAGCTGTTAAAGAAAAAAACAAAGGAATACAGGTTATATATGTAGTTGGGTTCCGGGGTTCCTCATTTCATCCTTATTGGAACATGCACTTTTTCGTTGTTTTGCTCGACTGGAATCGATCGTTTTCTTGGACAAATGCAGTCGTCTTGTCATTGCTCGATTTGTGTCATCTGCAACCAAATTCATCCAAGTCTTTCTCGGAGGAAATATGTATGTAGGAGGAGGAAAATGGACGGCAAGGCTTGATTGAGCAATGTGCTTCTGGCGCCTCTTTGTTGGCAATGCAAGCCCTCTGGAAAAAAGAAGGCGCTTCATTTGCTGCAGCCATTGTGGCAATTTGTATTTGTGCATAGGTGGCAAATTGCAATTGACCAAATTATGCGTAATTTGTGCATACAGTTCTGAGGTTGGTGAGTGAGCCTCTCGAAAGTATGTATAACAATCCACAAAACTTAAAAGGTTGTCGGCCTTGCTCACCTCCGCCCTTGTCCACCAACCAATCCTCCTCTTATATCGGACTGTTCCCGCATATCGATTTCAGGCAAAAAAAAGGAACAATTGTTAAGCTCATCAAAAATGCGAGTACAATATGCGACAGGCTTCGTGGGTTTATTGATCCTCTTAATGTTCCAAGCAACCATCTCCGCCCCCAGCACGACATCCTCCATCAACAATCTCCTTGCAAAACGCGCCCCATCGTCCGATGAGTTTGATGATGGCAAATGTAATACATGCGAAGTCTCCCCTGGCGTAACTGCTTGTTGTTGGCCGCCCACCCTCCGCTTGAAATGATTCTTTATTCGACGTACTGTAGGTAATTGTCCGCTCATGAAGAAACAAACCGGAGCTTTTTCTGAATCTGATGAATCATTGTCCTTTTCAACTCATCGCTTTGCATTTGTACAGAAGCACCCTAATCTCTAGCTCTCCCGAATCCGTGGGCACATCACTCTCCTCGAATCTTAATTATGGACTGTCCCGATACCCTATAAGTTGCAATCCAACGGCTTCTAGTTGAAATCCAATCAATCATCGATCCATCGATTTTTATTTTATTCTTATCATCAGAATTGATTCAAATTGTCTACTTACCCGCAAGATCATGGAATGGCAAAGACGCATTCACGAATCTCAAAATGGCTTGCATCTAAAATCATAGACCAAAAAAAAAAAAGATTTGTCCAGAAATCCATTGCTTATCTTGACATCTGTTTAAGCTTGGCTTCTATCTTTCTTTTTTCTCTGGATCAACTCAGATGGGGCAGAGCGGCCAAGACCAGCTTGACTGAGTCTATCAAGAATTAAATTGAAGCGGTTATGTGAACCTATGTGAACCCGGAAGTTAAGGTGTCAGGCAGGAAGAAAATATTTTATAGCCGCACTTCTTATGACCGAATTGCTGAGACGTCTATGACTCTAGTACAATAGCGCGCTTAACAAGGCCTCTCGGGCGCCTCCCTATACCGTATACGGGCCCTACGGAGCGGGTGAGCCAGTGAGCCCCACAGGCTCTCGGTCTCTTCGGTCGGTGCGTGCATATGTAGGCGACTCCAAGGCCATTCATATTGCCAGGAGAGAAGGGGGAAGCCTTCCCTCGGTCGGCTCCGAGGCCATTACCATGAGAGAAGGGAAAAGGGGCTTGCGTGAAGTTCGTGTCTATTGCAAACAGTCATTGTGATTAGGAACTTGTAAACCCGACTGTGTTTACTGGAAGTTCACTTCTTCCTTGGATATACTTATAGGGAGAAGTACACCAGGGCTTGATTGATTGCTAATTACTTTGCGCCTTTTTGTAAGTCCCGGTCAGCTCGGGTTGTGTATGCGATCCCTCTTGGCAAAAATCACATCACCCACTGCCACAAGCTGCAGCCATTGTGGCAATGCGATGCCAAAGGTGGTGTGACTGCACACATCATTACAGTCCTGATATCGGTGATCGAGACGCGAAAAGGTATATAAAGGCCGACAAAGGCTTGCTCGTCTTGTGTCGCATCAACCCTCCTCCCATCCTCTATTGGAACCCATTCAAGGCGAAACTACATTTAAATCGACAATCTTCACACCCTGCCTCAAAATGCAACTTCATCTTACGATTTTCCTTGGCTTTCTCATCTTCCAAGGAATCATATCCTCCCGAGGATCAGCCCGCGGTGGAAGCTCCTCCAAGCCTGGCGTGGGTGCATGCGAGCCCTGTCAAATTTCGGGGAAAGCGATCGCTTGCTGTGAGCCGCCGAATAGGGTATGAAATGATGATGTACTAAAAAAAGAAGAAGGTTAGTTTGTACTGCAACAAAACGGCCTCTTGGGCTTTGGTTCTTCATATACTTATTGACCATTTGAATCATTCACTCTCTAGGATCCACGCACGGAAACCGATCTACCTCGAAATCCGTCCTCGAGATCCGTGGTCACCTTACTCTACTCGAATATCCGGGCGCAAGTCCGATGGCCTTGCGATTCAGCGGTTTCCATCTGAATTCAAACATCGCGGATGTATGGCCTTTTTCTCTAGAATTATCTTCGGTTGATTTATCCATCTAAATTATACACTACGTTTGTGGAGTAATTGCAGCGACTAAGGCTAGTTTTAAGAAGCTGAGTTTAGGGGGCGCACTAATGTGAGCAACAAAGAATTGGAATGAATAAGAAAGATAGGACTAATATCTTTTGTGACAGCTTTGAGTGTCGTTCGATTGGTGAGATGAGAATGAAGACCCAATGAGGAAAGAAAAGAGAGGAAGAGACTTCAGAGAGGAAGAGATGTGGGAATAATGAGAAATCTCAATGACTGCTTGTGACATGTCGCCTGTGACATCTGTTGTACTTTCATTTCATTTCTATTCAGCCGTTGTTCTCCGTCTCTTTTCTTCTCCATCTTGTTTCTGCTCTCTGATCCTAGGTCTGCCCCTCCCTTGCCCCACCGAGCCCGAGCCACCTTGACTGACAGTAGCATCATTGACTGTCCTTAAAGGTCTTTATTCTTATCTCTACGTTTCTCATCATTCTCATCCAATCTTCTTTCCTTTCTATCTTAACTCATGAAATCTATCCATCTTGTTTCTGCTCTCTGATCCTAGGTCTGCCCCTCCCTTGCCCCACCGAGCCCGAGCCACCTTGACTGACAGTAGCATCATTGACTGTCCTTAAAGGTCTGCCCCTCCCTTGCCCCACCGAGCCCGAGCCACCTTGACTGACAGTAGCATCATTGACTGTCCTTAAAGTTTATATTCCAATAGATTATGAGACCGGTGAACTCTAGTAACTCCAAAGCTTAACTCTAACCCGTCCAACCTTCATCACTCCCAAACCCAATATCACAGCATCCTTCACAATGGTCGAGTTCTCCGTCGATCTTGGTGAAAAGAATAAGCTTACCGGGGCGAACTATCTCGACTGGAAATCCAAGATCTCCTCAATCCTCCAACTCAAGCATCTTCTCCGACTCGTTCTCAAGAAGGAAAGTGCTGAGGAAGCTAATCTAGCGGACAAACTGGACAGTAACCGCTACGACGATGCTCTCGCCATCTTAAAAATCAACTGCAATACCAAGATCGCGGACCAATTTGATCTCGAAGCCGATGGCAGCCCCTCCGAGTTCTGGAAGCTTCTCGAAGACCACTACCAACCTAAAACGATTCAAAACCAAGCCACCTATCTAAATCGTATCTTTACCACCGTCCTTAACTCCAACAAGCTTGAAGAAACCCTGGCCACCCTTTCCTACAACACCCGTCAACTCTGCGCCTTGATCGACGACGCTAAAACCAAACCATCCACACTCCTCGACACCGTCATCGCCATGTGGTGCATCATCAATCTCCCCGCCGAATACAAAAACTCGGGGGAACTCCTGCTCAAGAAATGCCAAATTGAGAAGAAATCCCCTACTATCAAGGAAGTCGTCGAGGAGATCCGCTCGTTCATGCAACGGAATACTGAAGCTGCCGAGACCTCCAAAGCCCTCGCTACTTCCCGCAAGTCACCCAATTCCGGGTACGTCTACAACGGCCCGAAGTGCTCTCCCGGCTATCACAACCCCAAGACAGTCCACAAACCCGAGGACTGCTCCCAGCTCAAGCTCAAGCCTAAAGAAGAGAAACCTGTGAAAGCTCTTCAAGTCACCCTCCACCAAAGCAACTCTCCCCTCATCCTTGACTCCGGGGCAACCACGTCCATGTTCAACTCAACGGCTTTCTTCCCCACCTATCAGGGCATCCACGATCATGTCTACTTGGCCAACGGCGACAAAGCTAAAGCTATCGGGCAAGGAATCGCCTCTATCGATCTACCCCACGCCATACTCCAACTCAAAAACTCCCTCTTAGTCCCATCTCTTACCTCGAACCTCATAAGTCTTAGCGCGTTCATCAAGAACGACTATACACTAAAATCTGGAGGCGGCGACGAATTTGTTCTAGCGGACGAAAATGGTGAACCTGTCCTCACTGGTTCTCTCGCCGATGGGAATTTCATAGTCAATCAAATCCAACACTCGGCCCACAAAGTTGACATCAAATCTACGGCAATCTACGAAAAACACCAAGCTGCTGGTCATCCCTCACCCGCCTACTTCTTCAAGATGTTCCCCAACATTCCCAAGGTTGATTTTACCTGCAACACATGCGACGTCTCAAAAGCCCACAAAGAGCCTTTCCTGGGAAACTTTCCCCCTCCCACTCGACCGCTTGAATATCTTCATGTAGACCTGTGTGGACCAATTTCCACCCCTTCGGTTTCGGGACACCGCTATTTCCTACGAGCTGTTGATGGTTTCTCTCACTTCGTCTGGATCCGGTTCCTCGCTTACAAAAGCGATGTCAACAAAACTCTCAGAGATCTATTTCTTAAAGTCGAAAACGAATCCAAAACCTCTATTGTCAACCTTGTCTCTGACAACGGGACTGAGTTTAAGAACAAGGACCTATCGGCTTTCTACTCTTCCAAGGGGATGAATCATCTCACGACTGCTCCCTACACCCCCGAAGAAAATCCTTTCACCGAGCGAGGTAACCGCACTACCGTCGCCAAGCTGCGTTGTCTCTTGAACGACTCCAACCTTCCGCTCTGTTTCTGGGCCGAAGCTGCTCAGACCGCAGTCTATCTAGAAAACATCACCCCTTGTAAATCCATCAACTTCTCTACTCCCTTTTCCAAATGGTTTGGGAAAAATCCCTCCTTTGCTCACCTCCATCCTTTTGGCTGTGAAGCTATCTATTATCTCAACAGGTCAGAAGGGAAGCTAGGCAATCGTGGGGCACGGGGGATCTTTTTGGGATACGGGGAGGGTCACAGGTCCTACAGGATACTGGATGCAGAGACAGGTAACGTCAAGATCACCCATCACGTTAAATTTAACAACCATGTCTTTCCTTCATATCCTTCAGATGAGCCTGACCAGGACCTTTACCTTCTCACTTTTCAATTTGACGACGATCTTCCTCCGTCCCTGAATCACACTCCGGAAACAACCCCTCATCCTGCCGATCCTAATCCGTCTGAATCCGAAACTTCAGATGATGATCAAACTTTCGAGGAACTCCTCACTGAACCCAAATCTCCCCAACACACTACTCCCGATCAGTCCGTAACTCCTCCACCACCTCAATCCTCAACCACTGAGACGCCAGCCCCATCCAAGCACTACTCCTGGGTTCCCGCAGACCAACCAGCCCCCAAAAACATCTCCAGCGACATCGACCCATCCAACATCGTCAGTGGTTCTCGCCGGACAGGTCACTCTGCCAACGCAGTCGGCTACATGAAGGAAGATCCTCGATCCTACAATGAAGCTATCGTCTCCATCCACAGAGAAGACTGGTGCCTAGCCATTGAATCCGAACTCGGCAACATGGAAAAACATCAAGTCTGGACAGTCGTCACTCAAACCAAGGACATGCACCCTCTGTCTACCACCTGGGTTTTCCGGAGAAAAACCGACCAAGACGGCAACCTTACCAAATTCAAGGCGCGGCTCTGCGTCAGGGGTTTCCTCCAAAAAGAGGGACGTGACTACAACGACGTCTTCTCTCCTACCGGTCGGCTTACCTCTCTTCGAATACTACTCACCCTTTGTGCACTCAACAACTTTGAGGTACACCAAATGGATGTAAAATGTGCGTTTCTGAACGGCAAGCCGGACGAGGACCTATATATCAAAATTCCACAGGGTCTTGATGGCGAACCAGGCACCTGTCTCAAACTTAACAAATCCCTCTATGGTCTCAAGCAAAGCCCCCGATGCTGGCACCAAGCACTCACCGCCGCTCTGAAAGAAATAGGCCTCACTCCATGCCATTCCGACCCGTGCCTATACTTCTCTTTAGACCAATCAAGACCAATGTTCTTGTACGCCCACGTTGACGATCTCATTTTTGGTGGGACCTGGACGCCCGAATTCAAATCGAAAATCAATTCTTATTTCGAAATGGAAGATCTCGGCATTGCAAAATACGCCCTGGGAATCCGAATCATCCAAGAAAAAGGGTCAATCAAACTCATACAAGACAAATACATACACACTATCTTGACTGAATTCCAGGTCTACAACGATCGAGACACCAACATTCCCCTACCCAACAACTACAACACCCTCAAATTCACCCCTTCAGACACCCCCAGTCAACCCCCATTCAACTACCGCCGCGTCGTCGGGCTACTCCAATATGTAGTCCAATGCACTAGGCCAGACCTAGCCTTTGCCGTCAGCTTCCTGTCCCAATTTCTGGAAGATCCCAAAGTCTCTCACTACCAAGCAGCTCGTCATGCCCTACGGTACCTCTGCCACACCAAGTCAAAAGTTCTGATACTTGGACAAAATGATCTGGACCGAAAGCCTCATGAACTCGTTGGGTACTCCGACTCCGACTGGAACGGGTCAAAGGCCTGGAACTCATACGCTGGGTCGGTAATCTACTACAACGGCACAATTGGCTGGCGCAGCCACAAACAAGATGTTGTTGCTCTCTCGTCCGCCGAAGGGGAATACGTGGCCCTAACCGAATGTAACCAAGACCTCCTGTGGGCTGCCAATGTCCTAGAGGAAATCACCCAAGTTAAACCAACTCTCACCTTATACACCGACAACCAAAGTTCAATGCAAATTGCCAAAAACCCAATCTATCATCACGGCACCCGACACATGAATTTCCGCTATCACTTCATCCGAGATCATATTGAGTCTAAAACAATTGATCTCAAATATATTCCGTCAACAAACCTTCAAACCGATCTACTCACCAAAAACCTCACTGGCAGCAAAACTGCTGAACACTCCATCAGACTCCTAGGAAAGAGTGCTGGCTTTATCAAAGAAATGAAGATTGAGGGGGAATGTGGGAATAATGAGAAATCTCAATGACTGCTTGTGACATGTCGCCTGTGACATCTGTTGTACTTTCATTTCATTTCTATTCAGCCGTTGTTCTCCGTCTCTTTTCTTCTCCATCTTGTTTCTGCTCTCTGATCCTAGGTCTGCCCCTCCCTTGCCCCACCGAGCCCGAGCCACCTTGACTGACAGTAGCATCATTGACTGTCCTTAAAGGTCTTTATTCTTATCTCTACGTTTCTCATCATTCTCATCCAATCTTCTTTCCTTTCTATCTTAACTCATGAAATCTATCCATCTTGTTTCTGCTCTCTGATCCTAGGTCTGCCCCTCCCTTGCCCCACCGAGCCCGAGCCACCTTGACTGACAGTAGCATCATTGACTGTCCTTAAAGGTCTGCCCCTCCCTTGCCCCACCGAGCCCGAGCCACCTTGACTGACAGTAGCATCATTGACTGTCCTTAAAGTTTATATTCCAATAAGAGAGAACATCATGAACTAAAAAATGAAAAAGATAACCATGGAAAAATATCGTGCAAATCCTAATACTATGACCCTTTGAAAGCTTTTCAACCGCCCTGCAGTATGGTCCCATAACCATGACCATCATCATCGCAAGCATAACCAAGCTTAGCAGACGTTAAACGACAGCAAGGTAACATACCTAGCTTAACTAAGTCCCTCCGCCGTCCCGCAGGCACCTCGGGCAAGCCATCGGATGATCGGATGAAACGGCCGGAGGGAATTAGTTAAGTTGGCAATATATGTATGTACCAGGCTTGACAAATCGAGGGACCTAAATATGTTAAGACAGCGGTCTGCAACTTCTTCAGCAGTATGGCAAGGGTTGATTGATTGATAAGGAGTTTACAACGCCTCTTTGTAAGTCCCTGTTGAGCCCGGGGTTATTGTTGAGTACCTCTTGGAACGCCCACATGCTGCAGCCACAGTGGCAATGCAGAAGAGTCACATGACTTGACAGATTGCGCGTTTACAGTTTTGAGAATGGTGATCAAGACTCGAAAATAAAAAGGCCAGCGGAGAGGCTGGTTTCTCTTACCTCGCAATCGCATCACACCAGCCAATCATCATCGATCTCCTTTCGGCCTCTTTCTGCACACCATTGAAGGTGACGCCAACAATTGATAATAATCCGCACCAACGATCAAGATGCAAGTTTGTGCGACTCTTGTGCTTGGCTTGATCCTTTTCCAAGCAGTCATCTCCTTTCCGAAACCTGTCAACACCCACGCGAAACTCTCGGGGGACGACGACGGTCAATGCGGCGACTGCGGAGACGGCCGACCCGGTTGCTGCTGGCCTGGAGACCGCGGCCACCATTGATTCAATGGTCAGCTTGCCCAGAATTCTCACAAAATGCGTCCCGAGTCTTCGCCAAACCTAATATGTACTGACCTTGCTCCGCCTCGGTCCCACTCCTTTCAAGTCCCTCAATCAAGTCGGCCTATAGTCGACTCCCTATCGAAAATCCAACAACTGTTGCATTCCGGCAGTGGTTTTTTTTTTTTTTATGTCAACTCATAAATCATGGATCCAGCGACTCTGAATTATTTCCTGTTCATGATGTGTACTCTATCAACACTACATATTTATATCTCACATCCATGGAATCGAAAATGAACAAAGACGTGATCATCGATTTGTATGGCTTGCTGAAGGCTTGGTTTCTCTTTTTGATTGATTGTATCTCATCTCACTTTTTTATATACATAGCCGGCTTGACCAGACTCTTGGATGTGCTTTATGTAGCTCATCATCTTGCGATAGTGCAAATGATGTGCTCCATTTTTTTTCTCTCAAGATTTATTGTGCTGTGTCACTGGCCAGTTCTGTTTCGAATGCCTTATTGGTAAACTTTGGAGGCTGTTCCACCACTTTTTTGCAACCTGGTCTGCCAATATATGCGTGCATTGCAACCGGTCAATTTCTTGATTGTAAGCTCCCCATTCCCTGCTCTCTTTTCGATTATCGAAATATTCAAGTATGTACCAATTCTTTACATGAGAGCTTCATCAGACACTGTTTGAGATTATCTTCTTACATGTCCGACCAAAAAACGGTCGGAGCAAGAAGCTTGTGAGGGTGTAAGAGCCATCAGTTTGGTGGAAGCTTGGTTGGCCTCATAATATATAGAGTGAGCCATAGAGATGGAATGGGCCATCAAACTCAACTGGAGCTTGTTCTTCCCTCACCAGTGCATTTGTCCTACATCTCATCATTAGATTTGGATTGCAGTTATGCAATTATTCCCTCTTGGTTTCACAATCATTATGTAGAGATTATCAGCAGACCATCCCAAGTTTTCTGTGCCAAGTTGTACACAATTTGAGTCAATGTAGAACGTTTTCTCGATGTCTCTATGTATGCATTAAGATGCAAAATGAACCCACAAGTGGCTTGGGTAAATTGCCACCACTGAAGCACAATATGGACATCCCCAAAATAAGAAGTGGATGTACTTATCTGATCATATGGATCTTTATTACGATCTTTCATGTTGTTCGTCAAGAATCTTTAAACAAAAACAAAGTAAAAAAATAGGGGAGGGGGTTCAAGTCAATGAGCAGAAAGGATTTGAGTGAGAGAAGACAAGAGTATATAATGATAAGATGTTTTGAGGACAAGAGATTTGATTGAACCATGAGTGTGGATTGGAAAGAGAGAGAGAAAGGAAGTATTGGTAGGTTGAAGGAAGAGAAAACAGCGCGCAAGGTCTCGAGAAGATAAACTACATCAAGTAACAAAAAACAAACAAAAAAATGCTTTGAAGTTATGGAGAGACCAAAGAAAAAGGGATACGAGTAGATAGACAAAACAAGGGTGGAAAGGGGGCGGTTTTGGGATGGCCGACGGGCTTATCAGGTCCATCGATTTGGTCACCAGTTGTGGGGGTTCCATTGCGGATCTTGTAGAAATGCACACAGTACTTTGGAGCCCGTCTGAAAAAAAAACATTTGAGAGGAAGTCAATAATGGAAGTTTCAGAACCTTCCTTGGAATAGAAACAAGACAGAGTATGATTTTTACCTGTAATAGGGGATGACCAGCGACGATTTGCAAGAACCTTTCGAGACCTTCGCGTCTTGTTTCGATGACTTCGTCGCTGAAACTATAGATGTACCCAACCCCCTCTAATTAGTTTTCTAGATTGACTTGAGATGAGCCAGTACATCAGTAGGGAAAAAAAAAAGGACGGACCGATTGGTGAACACTTTCCCAGGCAAGGAAGGAATATTGACCCGAGTAGTCTCGCGTTCCAAGATGTCTCGGAAGGCTTCAAAGTCCGAATATCGACGTCTGACCGACGAGTATTTCACCTTGAAGGCCGGGATGTTCGTGCGACATGTGATCTCATAATCCGTATATGGCTTCCTAATATTATCTTATTTTTTGCCAATAAACAAGTCATTTTTTTTTTCAAGGGGAGTAAATGATCAGTTGGTATTCCGTGTATGGTTGGATAAGTGTGTTGAATAATACACTTACCATAAGTGATTGGATTCCTGACTTCGATCTCTAAATAGTTCTCAGGCACCGCATACATTTCGTCTAAAGTCTGACCAGTTCTGGGAGCGGAAGCAGCAGGAGGGCGATTGGGATGATGATGGGGGACGTTAGGCGGGAGGTTGTGATTTTGATTTTGATGATGATGATGATGATGGTTTTGGTTTTGATGGTTGAAATTGGGGGAAGAAGAGGAGCTGAGTTGATTAGGGATAGGAGCGGGAAGTTGGCCATTAGACGACACGGAGGAGGTAGGGTTGGGAGAGGAAGATGAAGAGACGGTCGGGTTAAGTAGGGAGGCGAAGTTGTAGGCCGAGTTCGAGGGCGCGAAGCGGGAGTTGGCGATCGAGCTTGGCAAGTATGAGTCGTGATTGAAGTCGGCTGCGCGTGCGAATGGGGAGTGGCCTGAGCTGGGTGCGAGGAAGGAGGAGGATGAGGAGGATGCTGCTGAGTGAGTTGAGGCTGAGAGTGATTGGTGTTGTTCGCCCTGCTTGAGGTTGGCCATCGTTCTGGTTCTTGGTGGTTGGTTCTTGCTTGAGGGGAGAGGAGCCACAGCCAAGGAGTGCTGTGGTGTCTTGATTCATGATGAATTCCCCCGGGGGTGTGAAACACCCGATCGTCCCGACCACACAGCACTGACGCCATCACCTCTTCTCCGCTGGCCGTGTACCTCTTCTCAGTCAGACGAAGAACGAAGTACACTGAAAATGATTAAGACCATTCTAGGATGAGAAGAAGGCCTTCGCTATCATCAGCAGAGAACAAATTAACATTCAGTCGGAGAGTTGTAGATATCCGATCACAGCGTCTCATCATGATGTTGATGAACTGGAAGAGCTTATCACGGGATCTTCTGCAAGGACTTTTCAAAACATTCTTGAGGAAAATTGGCAATCCCCCTACAAAACACATTAAACAGTTAATGTTGGTGGCCATTCGCTGCCAAAGGCTTTGGTGTATAAGTATGAAGCAAGACGAGCCAGTCAGCTCCCCCACCCATAGCCAAAACGTTCCCATCAAACGCTGCATCCAAGTTCAACATCACAACTCATCAAGTTGCACCAGAGCTTGCCACAAGTTCGAAACCCCCATCCAACTACAACCCCCCCCCCCCCCCCCCCCCCTGAACAACAACGAAAACAAAAAAAGAAGGAATCTGGGTGTAAATGTCATCATCATCAGACCGATTTCGATTAACCATAGTTTGTATGACGATCCTGCTCGTCGCAGGCCTGAAGGAATCGTGGGGGCTCCTATGTTACAACAACAAACGGAAGACGAAAATGGAGCTGACGATAACGCAAGAAGCCCGAGCAAAGCAGAAAGTCGACTTACAAGCCCAGAACAGGATCCGCTGTTGGAGCTGCGAAGGCGTTCCGGAAATGCTCCCCTGTCCCCACCTCACCCCATGCAATCGCGGCCAGAGTCATCCGTGTGGACTCCCCCAAGTTGGGAGGTGTTCCTGCGGATTCCTTAATAAACTCCCCCCTCATAACCATCAAGAGTTCATCCCCGATTGTAAGGCTTGTCCTGGATCTAGCTCTACTGACTAACTTATAGCCAGCTTTCAATCATATCATCATCATAATGAATTGCTCTTGGTTCTTATAATAAAGATTGAGACATAACTATATCATGATCAATGGAATGGTAACTGAGAGAGTTATACTAGCTCGATCACAAATAGTTAGTAGGTGAATGTCTTGATAGGCGGCCCAGTCAAAAATCCTGTGTATATATCACAACACTCATCCCAAGCCATACTTATCATTATATCGTGACTTCAATTTATAGCTTGAACACTATCTGCATATCAAGCACAATGTCTCTTCAAACTTATCTTATTTTTGCTTTGTTAACTTTCTGGGAATCAGGATACTTGTACAAAGTCCTGTCCAATTATCATGTCGTAAGCACTACTATAACATCAATTTGGAGTATCAAAAAAACAACAACCCTTTATGATGAAATTATAGCCGATGAGAGAGAGAGATTTTTGGGCAACAAAATTGGTTTTTGTTGGAACAGCTCAAGGGTCAAAAAATGAGGGAAAGAACCGATGTTTTTTAATTATCATGCATAATCAGTTTGTTAAATAGACTACATACACGACAATCAAAATGTGGTTAGAATAATGAATATTCAGAATGACACAATCACAATAATGAGAAAAAAGAAGAAGATATTTTAGAGTCATGAGTTGACGAAAAAGAACTACAACTTAGGGTTTATAACTACAAAAGTGTGATCAGTCAGTCAAAAAACATGCTACTTAATACTATAATCTGGTCTCATGAAGAGTGATTAGAAAGAGAAAGAAAGACAGTTTAAAAACTTATCTTAGGGATGAGTGGAAAAGACAGCAACATTCCAACACTTTACTTTTACAAGAATGGTTCCAGAACAAGATTTTGGTCAGGCTTGGGTCCAGTCAGTCACTCAGAGACACCTCGAGATAGACAATCCTTTTCTGCCTGGTCAGCTAGAGGCCTTTCCTTCTGGCCAATCAACCAGAAGGCTTTTGGTCTGCACAAAAAAGATCACTATGTTCACCCCATTGACCACAATGAATTCCTTCAATTCAAAGGAGTACATGTACCCTTGTTGGCCGCTAAACTACACCACACTAAAGAGTCACTTGGTGTTAGCATAGCGGCGCTAAAAGGGGCCCTTTTTTCTGTAGTGTTAGCGTGCCGCTACCACTGCTACGTTGTAGCCCCGCTAACAGGCGGCTTTTTTCTGGTTAGTGTTAGCGCACCGCTACAGCGCTTTTAGCGGAAAAAAGGCAAAAACCCGCTAAAAAGTGCTTTAGGGTGGCTTAGCGGGCACCTGTTTGTGCCCTGAGAGTTTAGCATTAGTGCAATTCCAAATTCCTGCGCTAATGCTATGCTAACAGCTAATGCACTCTTGTGCCCTTTGTTAGCGCAGAAATATGGATTTTTGCTAACGCTGTGCTACAAATTAGTGTATTTTTGCTGCGCTATGCCACACTAACGCTACGGTTAGCGTAGCTGGCCCACCATTGCCAGAAGGAACTCCATCCAGATAACAAGGCACTCATGAGTTGTTGGCCAAACAATAGACTTCTGTTTGACAAGGTAAATGTACTTGTTTTGGGAATCAAACAATCACGATTGATCATTTGTTCATCAGTATTAATTGGGAATGATCAAACTAAAGGATGTATTTCTGATGAGTCAAGGATCAAGACAAACGATGAAATACATGACACAAGGAACAAAGAGAAATAGCAACCAACCTAAAGGCAAACAGCAGACTGATGTGGATCACAACAAGTAAGAAGAGCCAAGGAAGAAAATAACAAGGACAAGCTAAAAAGAGGAGTTAAAAAGTGTAGCTCTTAGTCACTAAAAGAGAGAAGTGACCAGTGGACCTACGATAGCAATAAGACCAGAGAGCTTTCTTAGGGATCAGAGGGAGGGCAAGAAGAAGGGGAGCACTGGTCTTGTTGGCAAGTTTGTCAAAGGAAAGGACATGTGCTATTAAGATAATAAGTTGGGAAATTTGACGGCAAGCTTTGTCAGGTGGCGGAACCAGAGAGATTGAGTGATGATGATAAGAATGAGATTGAGATATGATGAGGTTGTGATTTATCAACCTTGAGTTGCACAAGGAGGGGATTTCAGATAGACAGTTTAGGAGTTTAAGTGTTCAATGAGTGAGTTTCAAAAAAAGTTTCGACCAATGACATCATTGGTCAAAGCTTGAGAGTGCTTTGTTCAATGATTTCATTTGGAAAAGTACTAGGAAAATTAATATGGTGATGATGTGAGAGGCTTAAGTCTACAGGTATTGGACTCAGATGTTAACATTAATTTCTACTATTTTTTGAATTACAAATGATTTTTTTGACATCTACTTTTAGGCAACACTGAAACTGAGACAAGACATATATTTTGTATTTCTTGTATTTTATTTATTTTGAGACTGATACCTGGTGTCAGTATTCTCTTGGATGGTGAGAAAATCCACCATCTCAGATTTGTCTTTTCCAAGCAAAAAAAAATGTTTCTTTTTTTGATATGGCCAGGAAAAAACAATGCTCACTTGATGAAAAGTGACATAAGGCTAAGTGCATCATGCTACCCATCATGTACTCAGCTCAACTCTAGTTCATCCCCCTGCAACACACAAAGGGGCCATTGTAGTTGGATTGCAGTAGAAATGGAGCTACACTGGAGTTGTAATCAATGCTACACAATGTCACCTGTCATCTGGTGAGCATTGTTTTTTCCTGGTTAAATGGTCAGATATCTTGTGTATTGAAGACATTTTTGGTGGGATCAGCCCTCTGAGACAATACAAAATACTCATCTCACTTGCAAAGACAATACATGTGTATTGTCTCAGGAAATTGAGACTTGAAAAGTATTGGTATTTTTGGGTATCCAAATTCTGAGACAATACAAATATATTCTGGGTATTGTCTTGTCTTGCCTCTGTTTCAGTGTTGTTATAAGTGGGATTTTTAGGCTCAGATAATGTTTTACAACTTGTAGACAGAGTTTTTGATGATGTATTACAGATTATACCAGGCTGTTTCATCATTTGTACACTATAAATGTTTCATTTTAGTGGAGAGGTAGAATCAGAATATAAAGTCTCTATCCTAATTACTGAAATTCTGTTTGTTTTTACTTTTTCAAATCTGTTTCCAACCTTTTCACCCACATAATCACCAAAATGATTGTTCAAACTATCCTTGTTAATTTGTGGTTCATCTCAGTATATTCCACTCACATAGGGAAAATCAAATACAAACTTGAACAAATGGAACAAATGAATGGTGCTGATGGTAGGGTTGGCCTTCAACATGGTATGTCTTGTTCTGATGCAAACATTTTCCAAATTAATCCCATAATTTGACATTTTTTTGATTGTCCTTCTGAATAATAATTTTCTGCCTTGCCATCAAACATTTTGAAGCATTAAGAAGTGATTTGGAAGATAATAAATTGGCTGATGGTGGTGAATCACTGTCAGTAGGATTTCAAATCTTGTTCATTGTGGAAATAAATAGTTCTGGTAGTTTGAGGAACAATCTGTTTTACTAAGATTCAAATTCCATGAAAATAGCACCAAGTCTAACTCTCATCTGGTCAGAAAATGGTGTGTAGATTCAAATTCACATTTCTTAACTTTATGGTTATGAAATTTCTTAACAATAATTTACTTTCAACTCAAAGTACCAAAGTAAGACATTTTCTGGAAGACTTAATTGAGGTTTCTCATTCACAAGATTCTCTTAGCAGTCATTTCAAAAGTCAGTCAAATCTGAATTTCTTCAGAAAAAAAAGAGAAAAATTACTTCATAGTGAGGCAATTCTTTTCTGATTATAATCATTTTGAGTATTTTTAGCTTCAAGGGTAAAAGAAATACAAATTTTGAATACAGGTTTGCTACCATCTCTCACTTAATTGAATAGATAATAAAATATTCTTGGCTAAGAATCATGCAATTTGAATTATTAGAAAAGTTCAACTTTATTAAAAAACAAGCAGAAGAGATTACTAATTTTCATAAAAAGCTACAGGAGGAGTTTGAAAAATCAATTTCTAATCCAGAAATAGGAAATGAAGAGTTCAAAACTGAAACTCATCTCATCTCAAACTTCCAAAAACACATTTCAGACCTGAAGAAATGGGAGTTATTCAGGCTTTTGGAGGAAGGATCCCCAGATTCTCAAATTTTGAATCTTGATATTCTTGATTTGATTGGAAAGAAACTACACCTTCCACCTTTAAAAAAATTGGGAGAAATTATTCCTTGTTACAATCACATTTTCAATCCAAGCTCAAAGGAAGAAATACAAGATTCAAGTATAACTATAGCAGCTGGCCATTATGCATTCAAGATAGTTGACTTTTTTTTCCACATGAATTTAATCAATGAAGAGATAGTACAATCTATCTTTCAAGAGGAAAATATGGTGCAGAAAGTGATCCAATACAGTGTTGCTCACCTCAGGAGGGATGGGGCGCTCATCACATTAGATTTTCCACTTTACCTCACTGCACACTGGTATTGGCCTCACCTGTGGAAATCATTTCAAGGTAATGTTTAAAATTTCACATGGAATTTTGTGATTGAAATCTTATGAGGTTTGTTTGTATTTAATTTCCATTTGAAAAAAAGCCCCAGGTAGAAAAGAAGAAAAGATGTTTGAGATTGGATTACTCATTGAAAGCATAAAAAATCATGGTGGAAAATGTGAGGAATTAAAAAATAATCAGAGTTTCAAGTATTTTTTGCAACAAATTTCATGTGTAAAATATATTGGTAAATTGAAAGAATGTGGTGGATCAAATCCTTCAAGACTATTCAAAAATGAATACAATAGAAAAAACCCACCAAATCCAGATGATTACCAGAATTTCAAAGATGATATTGAAAGCCTAATGGAGATTCAAAACACAATTCTTAGTCGAAGAAAATTTGATCGCAATGAAGAGAAACTAAGCCTTGCTATTTTTGAATTTTTTCATTTTGTAGAAGTTGAAATGTTTCCAGGAATTCTAAAGAAAGTATCAGATAAATCACCTCAAGAGCTGGAAAGATTTGAAGATATTTTTAAGCTACAGATACTTGGATCTAAGTTTTATCACTCAAGGTTGATGGCATGGGGATATTATCATTTGACACATCAAGTCAAAAGAACATTGGATTTTGATAAATCAATCTATGTGAAATATGAAGATAGAATGCTTGAAACTTGGGATGAATTTGTGGTAAAATATACAGAAGTCTCAGAAAAACATCACAATTATCTGGATTGCATTTTGATGAATGCAGTCAAGTACTACATTCACAACGGTAAAGACATGATTGATTCACTTCATGAAAAAACTGAAGGGAAAAAATTGATTTGGATATCAGAATAATGCTTTCAGTTTAACTTAAATCTATCATATCACATTCCTTCTTCTAAAGTACATACATATTCTTATTCTATATACAATAGGGGGTTCACAATATCTCCTGGCAAGAAGCAATTTTAACAATTTTAAGAAACATCTGGAATTGTCTGATCAAGATTTTTTACACTTTACATCAACACTTGCTCCAACTATTTTTTATGCATTAATAACATCCTTGAAACCTTTATTCAAAGCTGAGTTGAGTTGTCATGAGGCACAATTTTGATTAAATTTATGGCAAAAATCCAAGCGGGTTTTTTAGACACACAAGAACAAAAAATGCTATTGTGAAGACCTCCTGATACTTTCTTCTTCTTTTAGTCACATCATGCAATTTTTTTGATTCAGTTTATATACAGTTTCTTATGGCATAGACTGACCCCACCCCACCCCACCCACAAAAATATGAAATCAACACACAGGCCCTTCCCCCGGGGGGCCATATACTGTAATATACACCAATAATGATTTTCATTACAATTTTGAACTTGCATGAGTGTGTAGAGTTCAAAATTGTAACCACTAAGTTTTTAACACAGTGGTTTTTTTTCTCATCATGGTGTGAAGGATTTTTGAACAGACCATCCAAAATCCATACCTAAACCCATAACCATGAATTTAAACAAGACAAATATATGTTTTTTCACCATTCAAATTTCACCTTATTATGTTAAACATCTATCTTGAGTGTTTCTTTCAGATCTCAAGGGATTCTTAACACTTTGGAGGCTGAAAAGAGTTCAAAAAGCCTGAAAATACAAATGATCTTGATTTTTTGCCTCAAGATTTCAGACATCCTGCAAATGCAGGGTTGGTTTATGGAATCTGAAACTGTAGCATGTTTACTTCAAAATGCAAGTCAATCAAGAATATATATTTCAGGTACCAAAATTTCATCAATGTTTCCTGCAAAATTTCTGACTGTGGATTCTAAATGTTGAAATTTCGCTGTGACCTCTCTCTCTCTCTACTAATTCTCTAGAATTTCACTCCTTTTTCATCGGTATTCTTTCTCTCTTTATTCAATATGCATGCATACCAGCTCCCACTTTTTGCGCACTTGTATCTAGATTAATTAAAGACTCTAGTTACTAAAGAAATAGAAAAACATCGGTTCTTTATTCTTTTTTAATCCGATCCTGAAGGAGCACTTGAGCCCTTCTTCAGACTCAGCTGCGAGCACTTGAGCCCTCCCAGCTTGAACTAAAAAGTATTATTCCTCGGCTTTATCGCCAAATTTCAACACTAAATCCTTAGAGCAGTGGGGGTAATAGTAACACAAAGCTACATCACTCTGCTTTTATATCAATCAGTAATCATGTTTTAAATCACAATATCTACCGATGCCACTCTTTTTCAAACCTTGGATCTCATTCAAGAGGCATGATAACTTCATAACTCATCCCATGGTGCACCCATGCCTCCATGCCCCCAAAATGGGGTTTGCAAGCCTCCACATCCCTTAAATATGGGTTATTGGCCACACACATTCTAATTTTTCAGGAATCAGCCTTTCAATGGACATGCAGCAAAGCATTCAGGAATCCACAGGTGTGAAGTCCTTATTGAACTATTTGTTCTAATGATGTCATTCTTATCCTTTAAGCATATTCATGATTCCTTACACACACAAAAGTACCGGTTGAGTTGTTGAAACCTAATTGATCTTGAAGTTCTCTGAGTTCGCTCGCATGTACCGTTCTCTCTCTTTTCTCTTCTTCAATCAAATTGTTTCTTCAAACTCGGTTCGCTAAAAGATCAAACCTATCTTTACAGGTTAGTTATCATTTTCATTCAACCTTTGTTAACCTTTCTTACAACTCTTTTATCATTTCCTTAGGTTTGCTCTTTTGTTCATCATCGGTCATATCAATCATCCTTGTGATCTGATATCACCTTATTCTCAAAGGTGTGTATAAGAAATCAATCAAATTGTTTCTTCAAACTCGGTTCGCTAAAAGATCAAACCTATCTTTACAGGTTTGCTCTTTTGTTCATCATTGGTCATATCAATCATCCTTGTGATCTGATATCACCTTATTCTCAAAGGTTTGCTCTTTTGTTCATCATCGGTCATATCAATCATCCTTGTGATCTGATATCACCTTATTCTCAAAGTCCGTTGTTCAATAGGTTATGAGCCCAGCTAGCGCTTAATCTAGTACCTCGAACAACGTTACTTCGATATGTCGAACAAGCAAATCAGTCAATTACCGGTTCTCTCCCCTTCTACTTTTCAAGATTGGAAGAACATCGTCTTTTCCTTTTGTCTAGAAAAGAATGTAGATGATCATCTTCTCACCGATCTGGTTGCCGGTGAAAAAGATGCAGTGGCAAAGGTCTCGTTACTGGAGAAGAAGTCAACTGCCGCTGGCATTCTTGGTCGTAATCTTGGCAGAGAATACTATGCGAAATTTGTTACAATCAAAAATCGAAAGGAACCTCATACTCTCTGGAAGAATATCTGCGAACATTTCGAATCAGATTCAGCTGAAAATCAAGTCAAGGTCTATCAAGATTTTCTGAAGATTGGTTACTCTGATGAAGGAGGTTTACGTCAACTTATCATCGACCTGGATATCAGTATTTCTAATCTTCGATCAGTTGGAATCAAGATCGAAAAATTTGAGAAAGCTACGCTTGATGAAGGCCTTCTTTCTGAATATCTTGTCAATTTACTTCCACCAAAAATGGAAACGACCAAAGAAATCATATTCACAAAACGACCACTTTCTCTCGATACAGTTCTGACGTACTTGAATTCAAAGCAATTGATCAAGAGTGCAATTCCTTCGAATTCGGTTGCCTCAAATTCTGGATCTCAACAAGTCAAAGTTGAATCCGCTATGAAGACAGTATCAACCAAGTGTGAAAAGAATCGACATAACTCTCTAGCAAATCATCCTGAGACACGTTGCTATCACCTTCACCCAGAACTTGCTCCTGAATCTTGGAGACGTCGTTTTGCACCAAAGAAGAAAGCAAATGCTGCTTTGGAAGCTCAAAACTCTAGCGATGAAGCTCATATGTGCATTACGGGGCTTACTGGAGTGTTCGCTTCGGCAGCAATTAATCGATCTGAAATTTTTCTGGACAGTTGCTGCACCGATCACATGTTTCCTGATCGTTCTCAATTTTCAAGCTATGAAACTATCAATTCGACAGTAGAAATTGCTAACGGTCAATCGGTTCCAATTGTCGGCACCGGCTTGGTAAAGATCAAAAACTCAGATAATGTGGTTCGTTCGTTTAGGGCGCTTCACGTTCCTCTTCTTTCTCAGCCTTTGATCAGTCTTGGTCGCCTCGGCGACGGTGGTTGCGAATTGCTTCTAAAGGACTCGATTTTGGAGGTTTCTTTGAAGGGTGTCAAATTATTTGACGCGAAAATTGTCAATCGAATCTATGTTGTCTCAGCTTCGATCGAAGGATCTAGTGCGTCTCTAGCCAACTCATCTTCAGTGGCTACAAATACTGATGTGAATCTGATTCACAGGCGGGCTGGACATCCAAATCGAGAAGCCTTAAAGCGGATGTTTGGCGTTGATG